ATTCATCTTCTTTTCCTTTCCAGGCCTTCTCTCCACCCCCCTCCACCTTAGCAATTTTTTTTTCCTTAGAGTAGCTGAGGGAGTCTGTCAAAGCCAGGCTGAGAGCTTGCCTTTTCTGGTGTCTTTTCTACAGACACAGCATTCAGCCCTCACCAGATGGGAACCTGTCAGCTCAGCAGGCAGATAATTATCCTTTCAAGGGTGGGAGGCCTTACCCTGAATGGAAATGCAAGTGTTTGCTGCAGCTGTGGCACTAAAGCCACATCACCGAAGCAGTGCACGCCAAGCAGGCACGGCTTACCTGGGCCGCGCTGCAGGCTGCGCTGGTCGTCTGAGGTGGGAGGAGGGGGGGGGGTGTCCCCTTCCCCATGCAACAGTGTGGAACCTGCTGCCCTTGCACCTGGAGTCTCACTCTGGAGACCTGGGCACATTAGCACGTCCTTCCGACCTTGCTCAAGTGGGCTCCTTTCTCTGCAAGGACCCAGAACTCACGAGCAGGTCTTAGGATGAACAGATTTATCCTCATTTGGTGGAGAACTCCAGTAATCAGCTGCCAGCAATGGTGCGTGTTGCCTAGGAAGGTAATGAACTCCTTGTTACTGGAAGTATTCAAGCAGATGCTGGCTGGCCACCTTCCAGGAACACTGCAAAGAAAAGACCTGACGTGGGTGAGAGTTTGCCTCCTATGCCCTCCAGAGCCTCTTTACCTCTGTTGCTTGTCTTGGGTAAGAGGATGAACTTGGAGTTGACAAAGGCCCAGGGTTCAAGTCCTGTCTCTACAGCTGGCTATAGCCAGGTCACTTAATGTCTTATTCAAAATAAGTTATATAGATATATTTTATCTTACCCATTATCAGTTAATGGGAAAAATCATTGTTAGGCCGGGCGAGGTGGCTCACACCTGTCGTCTTAGCTTTCTGGGAGGCCGAGGCGGGCGGATAGCTGCTGCTTCAGGGGTTCAACACCAGTCTGAACACAGCCTGAGCACAGTCAGACCCCGTCTCTAAAAAAAAAAAAAAATCATTGTTAAAAAAACCCAATTTATTGTGGACACTTTCTATTCCAATACATGTAGTTTGACTTGTCCTTTTTAATAACTATCTCCTCTTTTTTATTGAGACAGAGTCTCGCTTTGTTGCCCAGGCTAGAGTGAGTGCCGTGGCGTCAGCCTAGCTCACAGCAACCTCAAATTTCTGGGCTCAAGCAATCCTGCTGCCTCAGCCTCCCGAATAGCTGGGACTACAGGCATGCACCACCATGCCCAGCTAATTTTTTCTATATATATGTTAGTTGGCCAATTGATTTCTTTCTATTTTTAGTAGAGATGGGGTCTCGCTCTTGCTCAGGCTGGTTTCGAACTCCTGACCTCAAGCAATCCGCACGCCTCGGCCTCCCAGAGTGCTAGGATTACAGGTGTGAGCTACCGCGCCAGCCTAATAACTATCTACTTTTTAAAGCATAGCTTCCTCATCTGTAAAATGGAATAATAATGAAATTGTGGAGATGGTGCAAAGATTAAATAAAGGAACGAGTATGAAGTGCTTAGCATTTAACTGGGCATTCATAACAACATGTTGATGACTGCTCATTATTCGAAACCAGCTCTGTCCCCATAGAAATATAATGTAAGTCTTGTATGTAATTTAAAATTTTCTAGTAACCACGTTAACAAAGTAACAATAAAGAAGTGAAATTAATTTAAATAATTTATTTAACCCAACATATTCAAAACATTATCATTTCAACCTGTAGTCAGAACTAGCACATCTCCGTCTGGACCAGCCACATTTGAGGCGCTCAACAGTCCCATGCAGCCAGCAGCTACTATACTGAACAGTGCAGCGCTAAATCTTCCATCTTCTCTCCCCTTTGGTTCACTATAACTCTGAGAGGTTAGTCTGCTTACTCATTTAGGTTATAAATGTGAATTAGATTGTATTGTTCTCCATTTTGTGTGATTTCATTTTGTCTCACTGACTCTACAAGTAAGCACCGTAAATGTGACTAGCTTACTTCCTACACTACTTTACTGGTTCGAAGCCAAGAAGCATTTTTTTTTGAAACAGAGTCTTGCTCTCTCGCCCAGGCTAGAGTGCCCTGGCATTAGCCTAGCTCACTGCAACCTCAAACTCCTGAGCTCAAGAGATCCTCTTGACTCAGCCTCCTGAGTAGCTGGGACTACAGGTTCATGCCACCATGCTGGGCTAATTTTTTCTATTTTTAGTAGAGATGGGGGTCTCACTCTTGCTCAGGCTGGTCTTGAACTCCTGAGCTCAAGGGATCCTCCCGCCTCAGCCTCCCAGAGTGCCAGGATTATAGGTGTGAGCCACAGCACCTGGCCTGAGAAGCATGTTTTGATTGACATCCTTGGGAATCTAACAGTGAATAAAGGTAATATCGTCCTGTCTACCTTCTGGTGTGGAACACACAAGGTGCTTAACCCTGCCTGGCCCGCAAAAGACTTTCCATAAATGATAGTCCTCATTGTGCTATCATTAGAGGTGGCCAGAGTTGAAGTTCTGATGAGAGCTGCTTAGAAGGGCTACATGTCAGAGGCAGTGGGGCTGGGAAAATCATTCAATGCTTCAGTTTCCTTTAACCTTTTTATTTACTTATTTATTTGAGACAGAGTCTCACTCTGTCACCCCCACTAGAGTGCTGTGGCATCATCACAGATCACTGCAGCCTCAAACTCCTAGGATCAGGTGATCCTCCTGCCTCAGCCTCCCCAGTAGCTGGGACTACAGGGATGCTCCATCCTTTAAACTGAGATGTGAATTCCCATCCTGCCAACCCCAAAAGGAGAACTATGATGACCAGATGAGATGCTATCCTGAGAAGGTGTTTGGAAAACTAAGAGATCCAGCAATAAAAAGTGTGATTATACTTGTACTAAACTCAGCATGGTGCTAGGGCTTGGGCCAAGGAGGGGCAGTGGCAGGTGCTTGGGTGGCCCCACCTGGGCCTTGTTTTCAAGACTTGAACATGTGAAAGTGTTTGGAAGCTGTAAAGCCCTACCCAAGGGATCCTTTTATTTTGAGTGGGGGTGGAGGCAGAGGTGTGAGTGCTGTCCGTGCCAGACTGATGAGGAGCTTTGTTTTACTAGAGCGCGGGAAATATAACTGGTGCGAGAGACCTGCATTCATCCGGGGTCTTGTAATTGCTGGTTGTCAAATCCACACAGTTGCCTGAAAAGAAGAAACTCAGATGGAAGTAGCAGAAACCACCCTGGTTGATAGTGGTTGATATGTCTTTAACTGTCAGACCCAAGGAGGGGAACTGGGAGAAAGTTTGAAGGGAGCTTTTCTGCTTCTCTGAGGTCTCCAAGGCAGAATTACTCCCTAAAAGGGCCTTTTGGTAAATCATCATAAACAAAGGAAAGGAGGAATTACTTTGTAGCCTTTTGGTGCTTAATCCTAATCTGCTTTAAGGGTGGGTGTGGTGGCTCACACCTGTAATCCCAGCACTTTCGGAGGCTGAAACAAGGCGGGTTATCTAAGGCCAGGAGATTGTGACCAGCCTGGGCAACATAGCAAGACCCCATTGCTCCAAAAAATAAAAACATTAGCCGGGCATGGTGGTGCACACCTGTAGTTCCAGCTACTTGGAAGGCTGAAGCAGGAGGATTGCTTGACTCCAGGAGTTGGAGGCTGTAGTGAGCTATGATGGTGCCACTGCACTCCAGCCTAGACAGCAGAGACCCTGTCCCCTCCTCCCCCCAAAAAAATCCGCCCTGAGCCACAGTCCCACACCTCCTCGCTCCTTTGGTATTTGTATTATAGAAAGTGATTTTCTCCAGAAACTGAGACTCTGGATTACAAAGACCAGACCAGGAAGGAATTTGTTCCAGAAACACTTACAGTGCCTCTAGCACTTGGCTGTGCATTTCCTCATTTTGTGTCCTTTCTTTGTGCAGCAGAGTTGCCTATGAGTCATATATTTTGGATGCTGAGGTTAGAGAGTTAATTATTGCTTTTTATTTTATTTTAATTTAATTTAATTTATTTTTCTTTTTCTTTGTAGAAATGGAGTCTTGCTTTGTTGCCCAGGCTGGTTTCCAACTCCTGGCATCAAGTGATCCTCCTGCCTCAGCCTCCCAAATTGCTGGGATTACAGGCAGGAGCCACCACGTCCAGCCAATTTGTGCTTTTTTTTTTTGCCAAATAACCAGAAAGCTGGCAGACCCAGCCTGGGAGCTTGTGTGGGTGGTCCATGCTTCTGTGTCCAAGGCTCCACATTGTCCTGGTTGGGGGCAAGGGGAGAAGTGAGGATTCTATTATAAATCCGAGATTCTGGCTATCCTGTAGGCCTAGGGATTAGAGGTTCCCTCTTCAGCCAGGCATGGAGGCCTCCTCCCACCCTCCCGTTCGTCTGTTAGCTCACAGCCCATCCAAACACACAAGCCAGCAAGAAAGCCACGTCTGGACTTGGCTTGGCCTTACATGCCTTTGAATGAACATGAAGGCTGATCACCTTGTATTTTTCCATCAAAATATCCACAAGAGGGATTTCTCAGGCAAGGAAGAGAAGAGCTCCGGCTGGGTTCACCTGCACCCCTATTGTTCTACATTCATCCTTTCCACAGATATGCTCTGAATACCTCCTGTGTGCCAGACCTCAGTGTGGGTGCTGCCTTAATGTAAGCTGTTTTTAAAAAGGAATTGCAACAATTAATGTAATTGAGGTTTACAAGGAAATAGACAAGTAAGCCCAGTGCCTTGTCTGGTCTACTTTACAGAACAGTCAGCCTGGGTACCAAGACCCTCCTTCAAAATGCATCACTTAGGGAAGTTTCCAGGGTTTGAGATATCCATATCCCTTTATCATATCCTTTTTTTTTTTTTTTTTACTGAATAACATGAGAATGAGTTAGTGTTTTCAAGATAAATATAAGCAGACCTCATTTTATGGCCCTTTGCTTTATTGCAGATGATATATTTTTTACAAAGTGAAGGTTTGTGACAACCCTGCATCAAGCAAGTCTATCTGTGACATTTTTCCAACAGCAAGTGCTCACTTCATGTCTCTTCTCACATTGTGGTAATTCTTTTTTTTTTTTTTTTTTTTTTTTTTGAGACAGAGTCTCACTTTGTTGCCCAGGCTAGAGTGAGTGCCGTGGCGTCAGCCTAGCTCACAGCAACCTCAAACTCCTGGGCTCGAGTGATCCTTCTGCCTCAGCCTCCCGGGTAGCTGGGACTACAGGCATGCGCCACCATGCCCGGCTAATTTTTTATATATATATCAGTTGGCCAATTAATTTCTTTCTATTTATAGTAGAGACGGGGTCTCGCTCTTGCTCAGGCTGGTTTTGAACTCCTGACCTTGAGCAATCCGCCCGCCTCGGCCTCCCAAGAGCTAGGATTACAGGCGTGAGCCACAGCGCCCGGCCTGTGGTAATTCTTGAACCATTGCAAACTTTTTCATTGTTATTATATCTGTTATGGTGACCTGTGATCTTTGATATTATTATTGTAATTGTTTTGGGGTGCTATGAGTAGCACCCATATTAGACAGTGAACTTAATTGATCAATGTGTGTGTTCTGTTTCAATGACTGGCCATTCCCCCATCTCTCTTCCTCTCCTCAGCCCTCCCTATTTCCCTGAGACACAACAATGTTGAAATTAGGCCAATTAATAACCCTACTGTGGTCTCTAAGTGCTCAAGTGAAAGGAAGAGTCATAGGGTCTCTCACTTTAAATCAAAAGCTAGAAATGATTAAGCTTAGTGAGGAAGGCACATTGAAAACCAAGATAGGCCGAAAGCTGGGCCTCTTGCACCAAACAGCCAAGTTGTGAATGCAAAGGAAAAGTTATTGAAGGAAATTTAAAGTGCTACTCCAGTGAACACACGAATGATAAGAAATTGAAAAGGCCTTATTGCTGATATGGAGAAAATTTTGGTGATCTGGATAGAAGACCAAACCAGCTCCAATATTCCCTTAAGCCAAAGCCTAATCCAGAGCAAGGCCCTAACTCTCTTCAATTCTATGAAGGCTGAGAGAGGCGAGGATGCTGCAGATGAAAGTTGGAAGGGAGCAGAGGTTGGTTCATGAGGTCTAAGGAAAGAAGTCATCTCCACGACATAAAAGCACAAGGTGATGCAGCAAGTGCTGATGGAGAAGCTGCAGCAAGTTATCCAGATCTAGCTAAGATCATTGATGACGGTGGCTACACTAGACAACAGATTTTCAATGTAGACAAAACACGCTTCTATTGGAAGAAGATGCCATCAAGGACTTTCATAGCTAGAGAAGAGAACTCAATGCCTGGCTTCAAAGCTTCAGAGGACTGTCTTATTAGGGGTTAATATAGCTGGTAATCTTAAACTGAAGCCAATGCTCATTTACCATCCCTAGAATCCTAGGGCCCTTAAGAATTATGCTAAATCTACTCTGTCTGTGCTCTATAAATGGAACAACAAAACCTGGATGACAGGACATCTGCTTATAGCATGGTTTACTAAATATTTTAAGCCCACTGTAAGATCTGCTCAGAAAAAAATATTCCTTTCAAAATATTATTGCTCATTTACAATGCACCTGGTCACCCAAGAGCTCTAATGGAGACATACAAAGAGATTAATGTTGTTTTCGTGCCTGCTAACACAATATTCCACGGACTGAGGAGTAATTCCAACTTTAAAGTCTTATTATTTAAGAAATACTTTTCATCGGGCTATAGCTGCAGTAGAGAGCGGTTCCTCTGATGGATGTGGGCAAAGTAACTTGAAAACCTCCAGGAGAAGATGTGCCATTCTAGACGCCACTGAGAACATTTATAATCCATGGGAGGAGGTCAAATATCAACATTAACAGGAGTTTGGAAGAAGTTGATTCCAACCCTCATGGATGATTTTGAGGGGTGCAAGACTCCAGTGGAAGAAGTAACCACAGATGTGGTGGGAAAAGCAAGAGAACTGGAATTAACAGTGGAGCCTGAAGCTGTGGCTGAATTGCTGCAATCTCATGATCAAACTTGAACGGGTGAGGAGTTGCTCCTTCTGGGTGAGCAAAGAAAGTGGTTTCTTGAGATGGAAACGACTCCTGGTGAAGATGTTGTGAATATTATTGAAATGACAACAAAAGATTTAGAATATTCCATAAACTTAGTTGAGAAAGCAGCAGCATGGTTTTAGAGGACTGAGTCCAATTGTGAAAGAAGTTCTACTGTGGTTAAAATGCTATTGAACAGCATCTTCTGCTACAGAGAAATTTTTAGTGAAAGGAACAGTCAAACAATTGTGACAAACTTCATTATTTTAAGAAATTGCCACAGCCACCCCAACCTTCAGCAGCCACCACCCTGGTCAGTCAGCCCCCCTCAACATCTAGGCAAGACCCTGCACCAGCGAAAACTTTACAACTTGCTTAAGGCTCAGATGATCATTAGTATTTTTTTAGCAATAAAGTTGGTTTTTTTGTGGTTTTTTTTTGAGACTGAGTCTTGCTCTGTTGCCCTGGGTAGAGTGCTGTGGCATCAGCTTAGCTCACAGCAACCTCAAACTCCTGGGCTCAAGTATCCTCCTGCCTCAGCCTTCTGGGTAGCTGAGAATACAGGTGTGTGTCATGATGCCCAGCTAATTTTTAAATTTTAGCAGAGATGGGGGTCTCTCTCTTGCACAGGCTGTTCTCCAACTCCTGAGCTCCAGGGATCCTCCCAACTCGGCCTCCCAGAGTGCTAGGATTACAGGCGTGAGCCATCACGACTGGCCAAAATATTTTTGAATTAAGGTATGCATATTGTGGGGTCTTTTTAAGACGCAATGCTATCGCACACTTAACAGACTACAGTACAGCGTAAACATAACTTTTATATGCACTGGGAAACCAAAAAATTCATGTGGCTTGTTTTATTTTGATATTTGCTTTACTGTGGTGATCTGGAACTGACGCTGCAATATCTCCAAGGTGTCCTGTAGAGAAACCTAAAAATGAATAGCAACTAGATGTAAGTGCCTGTTTCCTTCAGAGCAGTGAAAGCTGTCCCCTGGAGGGGACGTAGGGAGGTGTCTGTCCTTAGCCTGGTTAGCAAGAGGCTTTCCTGAGAGGGAGATTCTAAGGGCCTGCAGAGCAGCCCGGCAGATGTCTGTCTCCTGGTGGAAGTGACTGCTCAGCATAAAGGCAGAAGCACCAGAAATTCTATTCACTGCCCTGAACAAGAGGTCATGCTGCATTCAGCAATTAACAAGTAAAAAAAAAAAAAAAGAAAAAAAAAAAAGGCTGCCAAGGCTTTTGGAGCACTTACTGAGTGCTGTGCTTGGGTCCAAACGCTGTGCAATGTTTAGTCCTCACAAAAGCCTGGTGAGGCAGGTGCTGTTATGTTCATCACTTCCATTGAACTGATGCCGAAAGTGAGACAGGCACATTGAGCGACTTGCCCAAGGTCTCAGAGATGGTTTGCGGTATTGCCAGGACTGAACTTAGCCCTGGTGGCATCAGAGCCCATGCGCCCACCCCCCACATGCTCTGGAGCCAGCCCAGGAGCCTGGGCTCTCCCACTCTCTGTGTGGTCCTGGGCAAGTTGTGCTGGCCTTCATGTGACTTCGATTTTCCTTCTATAAAATCAAGGGATTGGGGGATTGCGCGAGAGAGCTATTCGTGTCAAATGGGCTCTCACACACTGGGAGACAACAGTCTCTAAGATGTGTGGTCAAAGGGTGGGAGGGGCACCCCAAGAGAGGCCACTTCTAGAGGGCTAACGCCTAGTGAGCTGGGGGTCACCCCATCTGTGGGGCCTCAGAGACTCCAAACTTCCACTGGAAGCTGAGGCGATGGTGTCTCTTCCCACCTGATCCCACTTCCTGGGTGGGAAGTGAGGCCTCCATGCAGGAAAGGCCCACAGGGCCTTCAAACGGATGGAGGGTGAAGATGCTGAGGGGTGGGAGAGTGGGCCAGCCCTGGCATCAGGAGTGGAAGCTGAAGGCTGAAGGCCACCTGACTTCTAGGTACCACCACATTGCCTGAGTGACCTAGCTCTGACCTTGAGTGAATTCCCTAGTGCTCTGTGCCTCAGTGGTCCCCTGTGTATCTCTAACCCTCAGAAGGTAGAGATAATGAGATAAGGGTAGCACCTGCCGTCTAGGTAATGCTACTCATAAATCTCATTAAACAGCGCCCAGAACATGGCAAGCTCAGGCCGTGTGAGCCGCCCACCACCGCCACCATCATGGCAGAGGACCAGAGGAAATGGACCGGGGCTTCCGGCTCTCAGTAAGCTTCACCGTCAGCCAAGTCTATGAGTTTTGGTTCCTCCTTCTCGGTGAAAGAGGGCTGAGCGCTGTCTCTGGAGGCAGAAGGAAGATCCTGGGGCAGCTGGGAGGATTTTGCTCAATCCCTCTTGGGCTTGGAGAAGAGTCCCAGGGAGCAGAGAGGGGTGTGGTCAGCTCTGGTGAGAGAAGAAGATAGGCCCCTGCCCTTTTGGCCTTGAGAAGGGGCTCTTGGTGTGACTTCATGTTCCTTGGGAGAGGCGAGTCAAGCACAGGTTTGTTGAGAACAGCAACTCCGTCTTTGAATTCAAAATGGTATCTAAATCGAGAGGACTGTATCAATGGAGGGGAAACCAGATCTGTTATATTTTTGAGGATTTTCCAACTTTTCTCAGCTTAGCTGGACACAGTGACCCTTACACCTTTTGGACACTCCATCAGATCACATGGTGGTGACACTCAATGTCTGAATAAAAAACACTGAGGAGGAAAGACTGAAGCTGGAAGGGAAGGTTCTAGCCCAAGACTCTGGGAAGGAATGACGAGATATTATTGGCCTATAGTCAGATGTTTCTTTTTCATTGCTTTTAGCTTTAGCTATCTCTAGGGACCAAATGTAAATATGTTTTATGAACATCAGAGAAAGCATACCCCAAAGAATTTATCTTTGGTTTTTGCAGTTTGAGTAGAGATTCTCCTTTCCCTTCCCACCTCCCCGCAGCCCTGGCCCCATCATGGAGAAGGCAGGAATCCACGGCCCTCCATTCATGGAGATAAACAACACAGCGCACCAGCCTGGTGCTCTGTAAACCTTCTAGCTCTTCATGTGGGAGGGTTGCTGGCGTGAGGAGCGGGGATGAGAAGGAAGCAGCAGCAATTAGGAGATTTTCAAGCTCTTGGGGCTGTGTAAATAAATAGACGATAAGCTCACAGTTTTGTGAGCCAAGACTGTGGATCTGAAGTCATCGCTATGCGTCTTTGTAGGCTCTCTACAGGCCCGGAGGATTCTGTCGTAATCCACAATCTGTTTCTAAATTCAACTGTGGCCATGGGTTCTGGCAGCACCCTGAGACACACAGAGAACAACCTCAAATGGAAATTCCAAGACCTGAGTTTGGGGATTGTTTCTGCTTTCTAGCGGTGTGACCTCGGGCAAGTCACTTCATGGTGCCTGGCACACAGTAGGTGTTTATCAAGTGAATGAATAAATAAACAAGTAAACTACCTTTCCGAGCGGAGCCTCAGTTTGGTCATCTGGGAAGTGGGGGAGTATGCCTTCCCAACAGGCTGCCATCCTGTAGGTAGACTTGTCTCCTAGGCAGTGCTTCTCAAACTGTCCTGCAGGTCACCTGGATCACCTGGGGAGCTGCTTCGAAGGAAGATTCTGACCTGGGGTGGGAGGGCCTGAGTTCTGCATTTCCAGCTAATTAGCAAGGGGATGCTAATGCTTGTCTGCCGGCACTTTGGAGAGCAAGGTTCTAGTCTCCAGAGTGCTCTCCAGGGGTTTGACAGCCATAACATTATTTCCTTAGCCAGTGGAATGGGAGGGCCGCTCCAAGGATGGGGTGACAAAATGTCCCAGGGTGCCAGGCTAGGGCAGATTCCTGGGATGCAGGGCGTTTAGTGGTAGAATCAGAAAAGTCCCAGACAATCAGGATAACGAAAGAGAAAGGGATGCTTTTGTCTAAGTTGCTGTGTGAGCTGAACAAAAACAGGGAAAGGTGTTTGCTAAGGTCCCACCTGAGACCAATTAATCTAGTATTTCCTATTTCACAGAGGCAGAAGACGCCCAGAGAAGTCCAGTGACTTGGTCCACATCACACAGCAACTCAGAGGCCGGACTGAGGCCCAAGCTCCCGCCTTCTGACTCCCTGTGTAGCTCAGCCCCCTCCCCATCCGTCCACACCGTCTTTTCCAACACATTCCTCTCAATTTGGCAATCACAGCGTGTTTATTTATAAATTGGCTTGTTTGGAGCCTGAGATTTGGCATCGCTGATTTTGGCTAGGAGGTGTTCAAATTTTTCCTTTCTTTGTTTTGGTTTGCTAAACCATGTTTTGTGAGCAAAAACACAAAGTAATAAAAACACAACGAGGCTGCTAAAGTTGTCCGAAAGTAAAGCATCCAGAAATGTGACAGCATCGGCTTACTCTGATTTATTTGGTATCTCCAGATAGTAGATTAAAAATGCATGAGGTTTACTGCCAGGGATTTACAAACCCAATGCAAGCAAACAGCTGAGGTTTCTTTCCAGGCTGCTGCTCTTGGAGGTGGGGTGGGAGGTTGAGAAAAGCAGGTAGCTGGAGGCTCTTCCAACGCTCCCAAGGCCGGTCCGCAGTGCAGGTGTCGGAGACCCGCGGTCAGGATTAAGGAGTGTGTGTGGATTTGCTGCCCCAGATCCTTTGTACTTTATTTTGCACATAGCAGAAGTTGTAAAAGAATGTTTCCTTTTATTATTAATACCGAGGATCCATACAGAGAATTCACACTAAATATGTGACTACATTGTGTTTAGGACAGTGAGGGTTGTGCCCTCAGTCCCCAGATCCTTCTAACTGTGCTGTGAGTTCAGGTGGGTTTTAGCTGAGAGAGAGAACGAGAGAGAGACGCTGGCTGCATTTTATCTGTGGTGTTGACTCTGCTGGCGTCGGTTCTCAGGGCCAGGACGTCTGGGTGCAGCTGTGATCAGCGCCAATCTGTGAGTCTGTTCCAGGACCAGGAGAAAAGAGAGTCTCGGCCTTGCTCACAACCAGACGAATGGTCGGCTCAGGTGGTGGACACTCTGGTTTTTGAATAGCATGGTTGGCTGGCAGCTTGTGCCATTGTCCTAATTTAATAAACCAAGCTAAAGGCTGAGCACAGCTCCAGCCCTGTCCAATGTTTTTAGCAATAAAATACCTGTGTGTGTGTCTGGGTGTATACAAACACAGGGGAGCCCTGATAAAACACACAAATTGTAAAAATTTGTTTTTTTAAGTCCATCAAGAACCAATAATAGCAACCGAAAGACATTTTCAAACTCAGGCTGCAGGCTGAGATCTGAAGTGACCTCCAGAGTGCCGGGGCCTGCCAGGGTGAATAGGTGACACCTGATTATGGCCGAGGGAGGTGGCCAGCCAGCCAAGCTTGGAAAGCCCATCTGCTCTACCCGGCGCAACCCCTGGGTGTTGGGGTTGAGGGCTGGGCTCACATGCACTTGGGTTCTAGAGTCAGAAACCCCAGGAACTTTACTGGATGAGTCCACAGAGCTAGGAGTGGCCAGTGAGAGGAGCAGGAGGAGGCTGTGCTTACGCGCGACCCCCTCTCACACTCGGCCTGTGCGTTCACATTCCCGTGTTTTTGTTAGCTCTCTTAAGAGTTCTGGGGCATGACTGGGCCTTCCTGAGATTCTGATCTCTCTGTTCAACACAGAAAACTCCCCAGAGTCCTCTTTCACAGGGTTGAAGCTTCCTGTTGAGTGAACTTTCGATCTCTAAGGTCCATCCCCTACAAGGACACACCATCGCGTGGGGAAACACCTGCCGACCACCCGCTCTCCCTGGAGACTGTGTATGCCTATGGGGAGGAGAGGCCTGGAAGTCTGCAACCGCCCTGCGACTGGTAGCGCCGGCATGTGAAGTGCCACCTTGCCTTGCTAGACTGGAGCCACACTCGGAGGGCCAGCCACGAGCCCTGCGTCTCTACCTGGTCACTCACTCGTGCGGCCAGTCACTCTCCATAGTTATCCAGCTAACCTGCTCTAAACCTTGGGGTGGAACTCCTACGTCTAAGAAATGTTTGTCCTGCCAGGTGTCCTAAGGCCAGCCGGGGACCAGCATGAACTCCGAGAGACGCTCGGCTCCATTTCTTAGGAGACTTAGTCTAAGCGTTTGGGCTTGAGATGTCCGGGGCCTCTCTTGGCGACACATTGTTAGTTCTTTCTGTTGTAACAAACTGGCTGCCTGCTACCACGCCACGCCCCTTGCCACTGACATCCTAGGGCTCCGCCAGGCTTGCTCTGACCGGGCCCGAGGCATCTGGAACTTTCTTTCTCCACCTGCAGCAGAGGCCTCCCTGCGTCACTGCCTCTTTCTCCGAGCCCAACATTCTCTCCACGAATCCAGGATGGTCGGCTGAGTTCCCAGTGGGGAAAAGCGTGCTGGGGTTTGGGGGCAGGGCAAATGATGCTGCCCACTGAATTCCACCAAAGAACTGTCTAAAACTGCCGTTTTAGACACATAGAGGTCACAGATGCTTTGCTGGTCAGGCAAGAGCAGAAATGGCCCTCCGGACGGGCAGGACGGCTGGGAGCCCGGATCACTCCCAGCATGGGCTGCACTTCTCTCGCTCAGAGAGCCCTGTCACATACCTTCCTGTCCTCGGACGCTTGGAGAGAACCTGCCTCTCTTTGCTGCGCTGTTGTTTTCCTTTCTCAAACTCTGATGCTCCTTCCCAAGGCGCCCCACGCCCCCAGCTCTTCCTCGGCTGGTGTAGGAAGCAGAGCTGAGGCCCAGAGTGTTTCTGACTCTGTCACCAGTGTCCTCAGTGACAATAAACCATGGGGCAACTGGAAAACCACCAGCCAAGTGTTTGGATGGGTCTGGTTGTTTGCAGACTGCCCAGCCCCCCACCAGATTGCCTTATACTTAAACCAGCTTCTTTGGCAGTGTCCTTTGTGACGTGCATAAAAAGGCATGATTAAGTAGAGACTGTGACTTAACATTTATTTGCTGCTGATATTTTTTATTTTGAATGAGGGTGAGCGATAGATTTTAATTGTAAATGCCCTTCAGAAGCAGCCCCAACTCATCTCTGGGACAGACCTCCCTTAAAGCCGGGTTAAGTTTGGGAGCCTAAACTCCCTGCCCCAAAAGCTTGTTGCAGAGCCGGGGACATGGTGGCAATTTTCCAGGTGAAGGTCTTGTGCAGAAAGTCCTTCACTGCCATGCCGGCTGCCTCTGTCCCAGCCATTCTGGCGCTTTGCTTCTCTGAAGGACGCAACTGAAGTTCCCTGCTGGGTTTGTCTCAGGAGCCCTCAAGCCACCCTATTCAGCTTTAATGGCTATAATAATCCAGTCCAGAGGAGGGAAATTAGTAATCGGGCAAGCCCTGCCTTTGGAGGTACGGGCCGGCACTGATGGCAGAACAGGCCAGCAAATAAAACGGGCACCGAACATGCCGTCGGGATGGGGAGCCTCACGTGGTACATGTGGCCGTGCACAGCACGGCGTGCCTGGGGGAGGCCGGCCACCAGTTCCGGTACAGCCCCCGAGACAGGCTGCACTCATTTTGGTGCAGAAGCATTGGTTCTGAGCAGAAAGGGCATGGTAAGGAAGCAAAGCCTAAAAATGCAATTTTCCCCGCAAGTTCTCCGACTCCATAGCCATGAGGACTCCATCCGACTCCATAGCCATGCACCGACTCCATAGCCATGAGGACCAGCCCTTGAGTCTATGGACCCTGGAATGCACAGCCCCACTCTAGACTCTAGCTAGCTGGTGTCGTACGCAGGGGCTTAGGTGACTGGGAGCAGGGCATCTGGCCATCTCCGGGTGGGGAGGGGGCTCGGGGACAGCTACAGAGTAGACCCCTGTGAGGCCCAGAAGGGGAGAACCCTTGCATCAAAACAGGATGAGATTCGGCTATTGTCCTTAAGAAACTCCACGTGGTTGTCTTCCTGCCCCCTCTTCAGTGTCTGGGGCGTGATGACTAAGCCACAGCTCTGGGGCCATAAACCCCCCTCTCATATGCTCGGAGAGGCCAGGAAAAGTCGCTTCTCTTTGCTTTAACTATCCCTTCTGCGGCCCCTGCGTCTTCTCTCCTACCCTTCCACAGGGAGACCTGGCGTCTCAGCACTGCTCCGCCTCCACGAAGCCCTCCTTCTCTCGGCCTGAGGGCTCGACTTCGGTGTAGGTGGAGTGGCCGGGGTGGTTGCGGAACTTCATGGCCGGCCAGTGGTGAGGTCTCCGCTGCAGGGTGTGGGGGACACAGAGGCAAAGTCAGTGGGCCTGACCCCAACCATGGGGACTCTGCCCGCCCAGGGACAGCACCAAGACTCTCTTACCAGGGCCCTGGGGCTCTGGGGACCTACCAGGAGCCGGATGACTGACCTTCAGGGCCGCTGTCCCCAAAAGGCTTCCACTGTGATCTCATGACCACTGGGAAACCTCCTGGGAGCCAGACTTTGCAAGGAGGACATTTTCACCCCCACTGCGTGGTCTGCAGAACTCACAGTGGAAAGCTTCACCAATACACGGGTGGAGACCTGAGACTGCAAGGTGAGGGAGTGGGTCATGGACGGCTGAGATGATCTGGAAGGCTCTGACAAAGCCAAGATAACCCTCCAGATAGCACAGGTCCTGCCTCAGAGTGAACTCGGGGGGCTTATGAAAATGCAGAGTTCTGGGCCCATCTTAGACCCGCCCCATCAGAACGCCTGTGGCCCGGGGATCTGCAGTTCCCAGGTGTCACCCAGGTAGGCTAAGACTTCAGAATGGCTAGGACTGATGAGAAACAGGGGTCATCTAAACAAAGGGGGGCCTGACCCGTGTGGAGGAGACTAAGGTCACAGAGGTGCCACCGTGCCCTGTGGAGAGTCAGCAAAAAGCCGAGAGTGGAGGCTGGGGGCAGGAGCTGCTGAGTCCCTTGTCCCCGAGTGAAGGGGCTGAGCCCTCTGTCTCACGTCACATGGTGTGCCTCAGCCTGCTCCTCAGGAGCCTGAGACATTCAAACTGGGAGTCCTCATACAGCTGCCAGAGCGAGTGGCCCTCCTGTCACTGTGACTGTCAGCTTCCATCTAAAACCTACACCCAGCGGGCACGGTGGCTCACGCCTGTAATCCTAGCACTCTGGGATGCTGAGGCTGGAGGATCGCTCAGGGTCAGGAGTTCGAAACCAGCCTGAGCAAGAGCAAGACCCTGTCTCTATTAAAAATAGAAAGAAATTAATTGGCCAACTAAAAATATATAGAAAACATTAGCCGGGCATGGTGGCACATGCCTGTAGTCCCAGTACTCGGGAGGCTGAGGCAGGAGGATTGCTTGATCCCAGGAGTTTGAGGTTGCTGTGAGCTAGGCTGACACCATGGCACTCTAGCCCAGGCAATAGAGTGAGACTGTCTCAAGAAAACAAAATAAAATAAAATAAAACCCATACCCGCTTAAAAGCAGCAGGGACCTTGGTTCCATTATGGCTTTGAATTTGAGCATGAGACATGTTAAGTCATTGGGCATTGGCTGCCCAGCCACTAAATGGGCACTGGGTGGCACGTGTGGCCTTCTTTCTTTCCTTCTGACTTCACAAATGGGGGAGCAAAAGCCGACGGCTGCTCCCCAAGGGCAGCAGGGCCGAGGGGGTTCTGAGGTGCTTACAGGGCACCAGCCACGGCGAGATGTGCCAGGATGGAGTGAGTGGAGGTCGGGTGTGTGGCAGGTGAGGGATGAGATGGGAGAGGCAGGTATTAAATGGCCCTGGTGACACTGAGGCAGAAGCAGACGGCAGACCTTTGGCCAAACGCCACACTGACCTCAATGAAGAAGAGGGCGGCATTGGAGGTAGGGTGGCCGCTGATGTAAATCCCAGCCAGGATGATGGCCGCCACCAGGAGGACCGCTAGCACGATGCCCACAATGGCGCCCAGATGCATGGGCGCTCCCTTTGTCTTGGGGGACAGGTTGTTCTGAAGGCCTGTGGAGAGACCATTGGAGCAGTGACAGGCTGCAGGGGAGCAGGGACAGTCAAGCCATGGAGCCCTGGCTTCTGACAAAGCCCCAGAGATGAAAGCAGATAGTCTTGGGTCTACTGATCAAATACATGGCAAGGTGGCACGGGAAGTGGCAGAATCATTATGAGTGTGGCATTAACGTTGCCCTTGGCACCATTCGGGTAGTGTTCCCAAATCACTTAAAAGTTCCCAAGATCCAATAAGGATCATAAGGGAAGTCTTCTCTGATACCTGTGCCCCATACGCCCTGTGAATGTATTCACAAAGGGCACGTGATGGCTAAGAGTTTGGGATGTGGAATCTGGCTGCCTGGTTCGAAATCTGTACTCTGCCACTTACTAGCTGAGTGACCTTGGGTAAATTATTTAACCTCTCTGTGTCTCCATTATCACTTCTGTAGAACAAGGATAATAATGAGATAATTCATGTCAAGTGCTAAGGAGTCTGTCTGGCATCTTGGATGACCTCAATAAGTATTAGCTATTATGATAGCAAATGACCATATTTTTTCTTGTCACTGTCTACTATCAGACTGTGACCTCCTGCAGGGCAGTGACGGTGTCTCACTCATTTCTGTGTCCTCAGCACTTAGGAAAAGTGGTGGACCCATCGTGGGAGTTCGGTAAAGTCTATGGAACGAACTAGGTCCTCTGGAAGTGAATAAGCCAGCAGACCCTCCCTGAGAGCATCCCAGGGATCTATGACACATCCCAAGCAGGAGGCAGAGTATTTTCCAGAGATTGCAGAGTCTGAAGCGCCTCTAGTCCAACCCCTTTCTTGTCTAACTGAGGTCATGGAGGAAGTACAGAGAGGTTAAGTGATTTGCCCACAGACACACAAATTCAGTGCCAGCCACTAAGAAGCCTCATTCCCTGACATTACCTGGGGTGGCTGTTTGCTTCTTCACCCTACCCTAAAGGAGTATGGGGACAATGAGGTAGAGAAGACAGATGAGCAGGTCAACAACAGAAATACTGAATCCAACCGGGTGCAGTCTCTCATGCCTGTAACTCCAATGCTTTAGGAGGCCAAGGTGGGAGGATAGTTTGAGGCTGGGAGTTTGAGACCAGCCTGGGCAACAGAGCAAGACCCTTATCTCTAAAAAAAATTGTAAATATTAGCCGGTTATGGTGGCAGGTGCCTGTAGTCCCAGCTACACAGGAGGCTGAGGTGGGAGGATCACTTGCGCCCAGGGGTTTGAGGTTACAGTGAGCTATGAGTGCACCACTGCACTCCAGCAGCCTGGGTGACAGAGCAAGAGCCTATCTCTTAAAAAGAACCAAAAAAACATTGAATCCTTTTTATATAGCTACTGGGTGGGATGGGCGTCAACAGAGGGTGGGGATTTTTAATAGGATGTTGGGTGTGTTCAAAATCATCGTCCTTTTTTCTCTGCTTAGAGCTCTGTAAGCAGAGGACACCCAGGACAGGGACTGTCCAGGACTCCAGTGCATGGCTAGTGCATCCATCTGCCAACAGGTGGGAGGGCTGAGGCGAAATGCCCCAAGCCAGCCTCCCCAACTGGCAATCTCCGCAGCCTGCAGTGAGGCTGATGGCTGAGGAGCGCAGGGTGCAGAGCGAGGGGAATGGCCACCCCTCACACACACAGTCTTTCTCTCTCTCACCCACCGCCTACAGAGGAGCACCGGCTCCATGTCTGCTGGAGACACAATCCAACTGTGCCACGTTAATAACCCCCTCTCCTGCTGGAAGCCCAGATGACAATCCCAGCCCCTGGGTTTGGACGGCATTTCTATCTCTACTCCAGCAGGGCTCTGGGCAAAGGGTAGGGGCGGTGGGGCCCTTCACACCATCAGAGAGGAGAGAATCCTTCTAGATAATCCTGGAAAGGGGGTGGTGGTGGAATCCCGCCTTTCGTGTACTCTCTGCTAGCCTGGTTTGGGATGGAAGGAAGCTAAGTGAGAGAAGCTGCTTTCCAGCCCTCAATGCCTATGAGCCCTGGGGAGGGCGATGACCACAGCCCCCCCACCCCCTGCCCAGGCTCAGCCCGTCCCCCCCCTCACAGCCTTCATGGCAGTGAAAGTTCAAGAGCAGAGGCCAGGAGAACGCCAGGAGGTTCACGGTGCAGACACGTTCCTTCAATCTAGGGGACCTGTGCCCAGAAGCCCCCCTGCCTTCCTCGCCAGTAGGAGGTCTGGGAAGCTCAGGCTGCGGGTGCCCCCTCCCCTCACCCACAAAAAGAGGCCAGGCCACCACTGCACCCCTGTCTGGGGTGGGCTTAAGAGGCAGTGGCTCCGATGGGGGACAGGGAGTTCTGTACTCACCGTCTCCTCCCGCATAGGGATTCAACTTGGTGTCATCTTCAAAGAGAGAGGACAGAAGGAGCAAGATTAGTGGAATCATCATGGCCCTTGTGACTCTGGGTCCCCACGGGAATTTTGGGAGATTTGGTCCAAACTGTCATTTTGGAGGCAGGGAAACTGAAGCACAGAGAGGGGAGGAGCCTTGCTCAGGGTCACACAGTGTGGCTGGAGGGCAGAGAGTATGTGAGCAAGGGCTGGTGAGGGAGGCTGGTTCGGAGCTGGGGGAATGGGGAGGGAGGCGGGGTTTGGAGCTAGGGGAATGGCCACACCTTGCATGTTCTTCTAAGAGGCGACAGACAGCTGAGGAAGGGTGTGAAGCAGGGCTGTGTTTGTCACAAGGTCAGACTAGCCTGGAGACTCTGGGGGCTGCGGCTGCAGGGGACATTCCCAGCTCACTTTCTGTCTGCACTGGGCTCGCACCCTGTGGCTTCCTAAATAAGTTCCACCGGCCCCCTTCCTGCGCTTCCCTCCAGGGCAGACTTTTGCAGGGGAGGAAAGCAAGAGTTCCCAGTCAAGAGAATGCTCTCGATGACCAGAGAATGTTTTTCTAAGCACCTGAACTTTAAACAAATGTAACCACCCACAATTTATGGCATTCCCTTCCTCTCCCCTCCAGCGCCTCCACCATCCGGGTCATTCTAAAGGCCTTGACTGCTGGTCTTTGTGCACAGGTGTTCCAGCGCCCTCACCATTTGTCTCCAGTCTTCCCTCCTCCTGTCACTCGCCATGACACACCACCGCAGCCACTGTAGGGACACACCGCTCAAGGCTCTCCAGACCCCCAGGGACTTCCACAACTCTGGGCCACTGCCCGTGACTGTTCCCCCTGCACAGGCAGGCTCTTCCTGCCTCCACCCTTCCTCCTTCAGAAGTCCCACACCCGGGAACCCTCTGCAGGGCTGGGATCAGTGTCCCATTCTGCCTTTATTTAAAAATTTGAAATTTTGTTATCATGGGATTTTTGGCATTAATTTGATTTTTACAAATATTGCATTGAAATATCACTTAATTATTCCTATTTTTTTTTCTTTTTTGCACCTCCTTAAATTTTTCACCTGAGTTGAGCGCCTCCCTTGTCTCGCCCTAGAGCTGAGGCCCGATGGTTGTGTCCCCTCTGCGCCCCGCTGGCCTTGCTCTCTGTTCCCGCAGCTTCTCGGTTCCTGCTGTTCCCTGCTCCTTAACGCCCAACCTGTTTACTCTCCAGTGCCTGGACAGGGCAGCCTGCCCGGCTATACGTTTCCAGTACATCTTGAAATATCAAAAAATAGATGATGAAAGAATAAACCATAAGAAAGTTTTAAAATGGTTCCCTATAGGAGAAGAAGGCAATAAGGTAGAGAGGAGAGGAGGAGAAACTAAAATTCTTTGAATCTACATGCTTTTGTAGATTTGACTTTGAAATCATAGCAATCATCATTTAATTATTTTTAAAAATTTTAAAAATGTGATGCTTAATATTTTGAGTGTTGACTCAGTTGCATTAAGGAATCTCTAGAGAACTGGTGAAGTGTTATTTTGGGCGTGTCTGGGAGGGCGTTTCCAGAGGAGATTGGCATGCGAGTCGGAGTGGATTAAGTGGGGAAAATCCGCCCTCAGTGTGGGCGGGCCCCATCCAACAGCGGGGTACCGGATAGAGCAAACACAGAGGGAAGGCAACTGGTTCCTCTCTCTCCTAAAGCTGGGATACACTCTTCTTCTCCCACCCCTGGACATCAGGACCCCAGGCTCTCTGGTCATGGGACTCCATGACTCACACCAGCGCCTCCCCCTCCAGCCCTGTGTTCTCAGACCTTGGGACTGGGACTGAGCCAGCTACCAGATCCAGGGGCTGTCACTCGCAGATGGCCTGTCGTGGGACCTCTCAGCCTCCATAGTTGCATGAGCCAGTTCCCCTAATAAACCCCTTCTCGTGTATCTCTATATATTTCCTGTTGGTTCTATCTCTCTCGAGAACCCTGACTAATATAAAAAGCAGTTCCTATTAGCCGGGCATGGTGGCATGCACCTGTAGTCCCAGCTACTCAGGAGGCTGAGGCAGGAGGATCACTTCAGCCTAGGAGTTTGAGGCTGCAATGAGCCTTGTAGAGATGGGGGTCTCCACATGTTGCCCAGGCTGGTCTTGAACTCCTGGTCTCAAGGGATCCTCCCCATGCAGCCTCCCCACACACTTGGATTACAGGTGTGAGCCATGGTGCCCAGCCTTGCAGTGAGCTGTGGTTGTGCCACTGCCTGGGTGACAGAATGAGACCCTGCAAAAAAAAAAAGCAACTTCTATAAACTGAAATTAAAGCAAAATGAGTTGTAGACGTATAAAGATATGTTTTTTCAACAATACAAAGTTGTATTCAAACACAACTTTGAATCTATTTTGTTACTGCAAGTCGAAAATAATAAATTGGGTAATCAAAACTGACCAAGGTAATCTTAAATATCACTGGGAAAATTAACTTGATTTGAATCAATTGAAAATCAATTGTAGCCCAGTTTACACCTACCTCTGGTAGACAAAAGGACACAGTGCCACCAACCACTGTCCTTCCCACAGAGTGGCTAAAGGTGGCCACACTGTGCAAGGGCTGGCTCCCCTACTCACCAAGGGCTGGCTCCCAGCTGCCATCTTGTTGGGGCACCATGCAGTACACATTGGCTCCCTAATTAATGGATTATGGTGTGGCTGCACAAAAACTCACATAGTGAAGAAAGGTGTGTACTAGTCATCGAATCAGTGGTCATTTTTCGTAGTCAGTTGTCACTTTCTGCTGCTATTGAAGTGTTCTGTTGACCTGCTTATAAGATGGGCCCTTCAACTGCGCTCAGTTATTCTTGGTGAGGGCCTGTCTCTGCAATAAAATGCATGGGCTTTGTGACAGTTATTTGCCACTCACAGGTCATCTGGTTCACTTAAGTTTGTAACATTTGATTGCAAGTGAACGGCTCTTAAATCCACTCCCCATGGCCTTTGCTGCTCTCAGACTATGTCCTGCCTGGGCAGGTCCCTCTGGCTGGAGTGCTCCGTCCCTTTGTCCACACCACCTCCCTGTGGTGGCCGGCAGGCTGGGGTAGAGGGCACGGGAGAGACTCTGTCCCTGCGCCTGCACGTCTCCCTGTGCGGGCTGTAACCACACGGGCTCCTGGTGACTAAAATCTGTTCTGCCAAGACGCCTTTAGAGTTGGGCACGTGGCGGAGAGTCCTCATTAAAAGTTTTATTTTTCTTATAGATGTAACCTGATAATCTTTGCCATCTCCTCCAGGACCAGAAGGAAGTAGAGCCATAACTGTCTTCACTCTAATGAAGGTTTTCTGTTGGGGACTGTTCCACAGTAAACATAAGTGAGACCCACTCCTGGGCTGGTGACACACACACATAGTGAAACAGGCCAACAGAATTCGCTGCCTGTGCAAGGACAGCCACCGCAGCAGTAACACGGGAGGAGTGGACTCTCTGTGGGGGCTGCTAATCACGAGGCAGGATTTGAACACGGCTCTCTATGGCCGCCATGAAGCCGCCCTCACAGGGTTAACAAGAATTGAGGACAGAAATATCATTATAATTAAGTATTAATCGGGCTGCAATTAATTTGGCCTACTTCCTTGTAACCGGAAGTCACGCAGCACTAGCTACTGATCGTTTGCACCCCCTCGTTCCTATAGATAGGGCTTCTGACGTCAGAGGCATGAGACTTCTGCTTAAGATGCTTTTCAGGTCCTGAATTACAGCAGCATGGCTGATGCCGACCGGAGTGGAGAGCCCCCCAGAGAACCGAGTCGGCACGAGGATGAAGTTTCTCCATCTCCTGGTCCCACGACTTTGCCCTGCACTCTTCCGCCAGTCAGCGACCTCCACGCTTGGCCCTCGCCAAACCCCTTTAGACGCCTGGCCCCAGACTCCTTAGCCAGGTGGATTGGAGGTCTCTTTTCTCGTTGGGTGGCCTTGCAATTAAACCTCTCTCCCTGCTGCAAGCTGGCGTCCTGACTTGCCATGTGCATCGGGCAAACAAACCTATTACAGCGACAAACACAGCCGCCCTCCTGGCCTCTTGACACTCAGTGGCTTAACCTCTGAGTGGGGTGGGAGGTGTCTGTGTCCCTAGCACCACTCTGGGCTCAGAACGCGCCCTCGCTGAGCTCGGGGGGTTAACTGAGGGTGGCTGAGCAGGCTCCTTCCTTTTAAGTGGACTCTCCTTAGACTGAGGGTCATCCCTGGACTCAGTCATTAACTCCCCAAGCACAAGTCTCTCTCTGCTGCTTTCCCATTTAACCCCTGCTGCACCAGCATGAGCTCTCCATACTGGAGTCTTAACCAGCTCCTTGCTATTCCCGGCGGCTTCAGAGTACTGGGAGCCGTGGGAACCCCCCTGCCTTGCTCACCCCGTGCTATTTCGCCCTGCCCCTGCATCCACACAGACCTTTTCCATTTCTTTCGACACCAAGAAAGGCAGTGAAATGAGGGGGTAGATCACTGCTTTTAGAGTCGATGATACCTGACTCTATCCCTTCCTGGCTGTGTGACCCTGGGCAAGTCATCTGCCTCTCTGAGCCTTAGTGTCTCCTCTATAAAATGGAGATATAACAGTATTGACACCCAGGAGGACTGCATATTAATTTGCGTGCTGTTTTAGTGCCCTGCAGGGCACATGGTCAGCCCCTCATTAGCTCTTTCCAGCATTAGTTCATTTTCTTCCGTGATCTCCCTCTGGCTAGGTCCGTGGGTCGCTGCTCTGGTTCTCCAGTTCTCTAGGCGACGTTTGGAAAGGCAGGGGCACCGTGGAAAGAACACTCCACCACTTACCCCTCACGTAACTCTGAGTAACCTACTTTGTACCTATGAGCCTGTTTCGTTATCTATAAAAAAGGATCGTGGCTGAATAATGTTTTAAAATATTAACTTTTTTCTTCTCTCCTTTCCTTTTTTCCATTATTCCTTTTGAGCACAGGGGAGGCCGTGAGCCTTTCAGTCTTTCAAACCTAGATGCAGTGTGTTGAAAAAGGGCAAGGGACGTTCTCAGACGTAGCTGAAGAATTCTGGAAGGGGGCAGGAGAAAAGGGAAAGACTTAAGGGTCCTAAAAACAGAGGAGCCCGCACAGGGCTTCCTGAAACACGGCATGGCAGGTGTCCCCAGGGGAATGGACCTCTGGTGGCTTCAGTCAAGACCCCCAGGCCTCGAGGTAGCAAAGACACCCCTGGGGATGGCCAGACCTGAACGGGAAGGCAGATCAGCAACAACCTGAGACGGAGGACACCGTGGCCCCACCAGGACCCTCTGCCAGCACAAGGTCTCAGGAGCTGGGAGCCACGTGCCAGCCTGAGCTGGAATCCCAGCACTCCAGCCGAGCGGGGTCCGAGAGTCAGAAGTGAAGTGAAGCTATGGAAAGATCAGGCCGTCTTTTTTCTACATCTCAGTGTCTCAGGGTGCGGACTGAGTTCAACCCAGTGATACGATCGCTCAGGTTCCGTGAGGATTACTGTCAAGATTCACTGAGATATGTTATATGAAATACCTGGCACTGGGCTGGGACATTAATGTTTCCCCTCTCCAGAGTGAGTGCTGTCCCTCAGTCCTGGTGCAGGCTGGCACGGAGGGGAGAGCCAGGAGTGGCGTCCCCACGTCCCAAACTGGGCTCTGCTTCTCGCCAGCAAGTGACCTAAACTCTCTGAGCTTCTGGTGGTCCCTCCTCCGTGCCAACCCCGCACCTGGGGTCAGGCCTTACCTTCCGTGGTGAGGGTGTCGATGACAAGAGAGGAGGGGCTGGTGGTGGCCAGGTCTTCGTCAAAGGGGCCGAGGGAGCTGTCCGGGGAGGCTGAGTAGTGGTCGTCATCCTGGAATTCCTCACACGTCCTGCCCTCCGCCTGCAAGACAGACCTTCGTGCTGCCGCCCTGGACAGACCTGCGCCCTGCATGCTCCGTCCTGAAAGTGTCTAATCTTTCAGGGCAATTTATCTGGCAGCTGGAAGGAAGGAGCTGAGATGTCAACCTTAAGCAAATAGAGCAAATCTGAACATTCGCTAACAGCCGGCTTCAGAAGTGGGCAACTGGACATTTCTGTTTCAAGGCCAGAAAAGACGGCTCCCCAGACCCAGACTCATAAAACAGATCCTGGTGTGTGCAGGGCAGTGGGGTCTGGGGAGCTGGCATTTAAATGCCGGGCCCAGCACTTCCTGGCTGTGAGATGCAGATCTAGTCACTAAACTTCTCTTGGCTTCAGTTTCCCCCTCTGATCAATGGGTGCACCGGGCCCTGCTTTGGGGGTTATGTTAGGTAAGGACGAGGGTAGGGCAGCCCACGGCGAATGCTTGGCGCATGCAGTGTGCTGGCGTTGCAAGAAGAGACAGAGAGGCCGGGCGCGGTGGCTCACGCCTATAATCTTAGCACTCTGGGAGGCTGAGGCGGGAGGATTGCTCAAGGTCAGGAGTTCGAAAGCAAGAGCGAGACCCTGTCTCTATTATAAATAGAAAGAAATTAATTGGCCAACTAATATATGTAGAAAATATTAGCCGGGCATGGTGGTGCATGCCTGTAGTCCCAGCTACTTGGGAGGCTGAGGCAGAAGGATCGCTTGAGCCCAGGAGTTTGAGGTTGCTACGAGCTAGGCTGATGCCACAGCACTGTAGCCCGGGCAACAAAGTGAAACTCTGTCTCAAAAAAAAAAAAAGTATTTAAAAAAAAAAAAAAAAGAAGAGACAGAGAGAGGGAGGGAGGGAAAGGATGCACGGGTGAATGGCTGTGTCTGTGCCAGTCTAAGGTGTGGGACTAGGATGCTTCCTGTCCAGAATCAGAGTGTTGAGTGTTTTGGAAAATTCTAGCAGTGAGAAGGAACCTATATGGCTGCAGTCCCCAATCCCTGGGCCGCAGACTGGTACTGTTCCGTGGCCTGTTAGGGACCCGACTGCAGAGATCTGCCACCTCCCCCACTCCTCTGTGGCAAAATTGGCTTCCATGAAACTTAGGAACCAGGGGCCCACACAGCGGGAGGTGAGCGGTAGGCAAGCTAGTGAAGCTTCGTCTTATTTACAGTCGCTCCCCATCACTCGCATCACCGCCTGAGCACCTGGGCTATGCCCTGCCCCCACCCAAACTGTAGAAAAAAGGTCTATGAAACCAGTCCCTGGTGCCAAAAGTGTTGGGGACCGCTGCTATATGGGATTCTAAATGGGAGGTGCCTGGAGCCACCCTCCTCACTCCGGGAAGGACTGCCTCCCTGAAAAGCAAGCATCCTCAGTGCTTCATTAATGTCACCAGATGCACAGTCTCCCAGGGGACCCAGCTGTGCCTGAGGCCGTGCCCAGTGTACCCTCTGCACAGACCAAAGGAGCTTCTTAGGGGCTGCCCACTCAGGGCCCGGTCATCACAAGTGCTTGTCTCAGGGACCCACAGAGCTCTCTACAACCTTCCGAAGTGGGTTTAATTGGCTCAGAGCTGTCTGGGAAACAAAGCTCAGATGGAGGGGAGGATATCACCGAGGGCTAAGGACACCCTGACAAGAGCTGCCAGGGCAGGGGCCTGCCGGCAGTCCCCCCTGTCCCCTCCACCTGACAAAGGAGCTACAGCAGGTCACTATGCCTCTTACCTCCTGGGCACAGCCGTAGGCCAGCCACTCCTGGCGGTAGCGGTCAAAGCCACTGGAGCATCTGCAGGGGGACCAAAGGGTGAGGGACGTGATGGGACCGACAGAGAAGCCCCCCCTTCCATTCCCCCCTCGGCAACAGCTGTTCTGAAGGGAGGAGGGCGGCTCAGCGCCTGGAGCTGGGCGGGCCAAGACCCTAAGACCACCGACCAGGAGCCTTGACCTCAGGCAGCTGTGGGACCAGAAGTCAGCCCTCCTGTCCCCTGTGTTGCTTCCCCGGAAGGAGGAGAAGGCATTTGTGGCAAACTACCCCCCCCCCACTTCTGACCCAGCTCCCAGGACCACGGCCGCATCTGCCCGCCTGTGTGGGTAGGAGGCCAGCAGAACCGCATGACCTCTAATGGTCTTGAAGGTCCCCTAGACGCTGTGCTGCCACGACATTGCCGAGAATCCAGGACATTCACGCACATGTTCGCATCCAGGCAAAGGCTTGCTCACTCGCACATCCGCCCCATCATTACTGCGGGGCCTGCATGTGGGAAGGAGAGGCTGGGCAGATTTAATTAACACTTCCCTGTGTGATCATTCCAGGGCAGAGGCTGGGAGAGATTAAAAACTGGTTGTCAAGGGTCTGCAGAGAGGACACTGTGCAGCCCAGCTGGGCTGGAAGACAGCCAGCCCGGCTTCCCTGGGGAAGGGCGGGGGCCTGGGCATGAACCAGAGAATGTTCTCCGCATGTTATGCCCACATTTCCATGCTTCACTCTTTGGCGCTGGGGAACCCGCCAAGCCCGGCCCCAGCCCAGGCACACCTTCGCAGAAAACATCACGGGCCGCCGGCGCCAAGGCAGCATTCTCGGCAAGTTAACTCTGCACCAGCAACCGCCCAAGATCTGGTGAGGCATCGGCCATGGCTCTCCGAGGACTGTCGGCCTTTCCTTCTAAAGATGCCTCCACGGGCTCTGAGCCCCTCTTTCTGCAGCCAGGATGGCTGATCTAGGCCTCCCACTCTCCTCTCGGGTCCCCCATGCCCACCACTTTCCGGGATGGAGGATTGGGGCAGGGCTGTTGGCATCTGGGAACTAAAGTTTCTTTTAGACCAAGCTAATCGATTCTTCTTACTTCTTTGTTGTTGTTGTTGTTTTAATATTCCCACAGACTGATAAGAGCTGAGTCTTTCAAGCATTGAGCCTTTGGTGGAGGTCCAAGAGCATCACATTCTAGCCTTGAGCTCACCAACCCAGCTTCAAAGGTACATGAGAAATGCTCATTTATTGAGCACCTCCTGAATACCAGATGCTGCCCCAGCCGCATGCCACCTTGCACCATCTCATGGGACCCTCCCAGTGACATTGAAAGGCAAGGATTACGACCCCTTTCATGACCCAATCCTGAAGTTAAGGTTGCCCTTAGACTCCAGAGTGGGCCACGGAGGGACAAGGTGGGATGAAGGGAAGACACCTGCCACAGTGAGATTGTCTAAATTAGATCCGGCCCCAGAGCGGGAGGGCAAAGCCTGGGAGGCTACGGAGGGCCAAGCGGTGGAGGGGAGGGGAGCAGAGCGCCCCGTGGGGATTGACAGCAGCTGTTGGTGGGAGAGATCATGTCAGGTGGCCCCACTGTGCCAGCCTGGCCCTCTGGCTTTTGGGGGACCTGAGGTCAGCTGTCAGTTGGAGCTGAGGTTCTAGGAAGCTGGCAAGAAGGTGCATGCGCTGGAGTGATCCCTGCCCACGGGGCGTCCGGGGGCGGGATGGTTTCCAGTCCACATCAGCCTTGCACCCCGTTGGCGTTTCCCTGCGCTGTGCCGTTTCTCTTTGCTGACATGACCACAAAAGAGGCAGAGTCCACACCCATCGGGCCTGCCCTTCCCCCACCCAACCAATCTCTTAATGTGGAGGCGACCCACCCAGCCCTCATTAAACCGTCATGGTCTCTGAGCTTGGGCATCTGCATTCACTGGGGGTGGCGTCCATGGGAGGGTTCTGCTTTCATCTGACCCATTTTGCAGTTCTCATGGCTCAGCTCTTATTGGAGGCTGAGTCACGCTGTGGCAGCCAGCCCCGAGATCTCAGGGCTCATCTGAGGTCACCTCCCATCACTGAGACAGTGGTTCTCAAATTTGAAAGAGCACAAGATGGACCACATCAAAAATCAGATTTCTGGGATCCTGGTCCCAGAGTATCATATTCAGTGGGTTGGTGCAGGGCCCAGGAGTCTGCATTTTTACAAGCCTTGCAGGTGATTCTTATAGCCTCACAGTCTGGAGGTTCCTCTGTGAAGCTCCACTCTGGGAAGAACCAACTTGGCGTCTCCTCGTGTATTTTCTTCTGAGCTCTGTGTGTTCCTCACTCACATGTCCTTGAATCACATAACCTCAGCCCATTACACAGGGTAAACAAACTGAGGCCCCACGAGACTAAATAAAAGCACAGCTGGTGGGAAGAACACCTGACAGGCCTGAGGAGCACCACCCAGTCCCCTTCCAGCACAAAGCCACGTCCTGTGAGCGAGGCGAGAGCTTCTATTTCTGCACCGAGATATTGGGAAGGAGCGAAGGAAATGCTGACAGTTGCACACCAGCTGCATGGGAACCCAGAGATTATAATTTTGCAATTTTCAAGATTGCCTTAAAGGCTCTTGGAGTTCACAGGGCTTCCCACTCTCAGGAGAGCCGTAATCCCCAAAGAAATCCTTTTTTCTTTTCCTCCTGCTATTTATTTATCTTGGACGGGGAACAAAACTTGAATCCTGAGTCTAATTTGTGAGGAAATGATTTCAGAACAAGGAGTGGAAGATGAGTTGGATTTAAGAACTCTATCCCTGAAACTGAATCTGACCCAGAATTTTCTGAGCTTCTAAAACCAAGCAAACATAGCTTGGGAGCTTCCCCCAGCTTTCCACGGACGCCTGCAATGTCCGTAGTCCTGGTTTGCAGGAAATGTTCTTGCAGTCCGAGAAAGATCTTGAGGTAGTGGTTCGGGGTCATGGGTATTCGGATTATACTCTGTCTCTGAGTTTTCACACTTATTTGCAAATGAGGCACTGTGTTAAAATGCAGCTTCCTGGGTTCTCTCCCAGAGATCCTGATGCAGAGGGTATGGGATGGGTCCCAGGACTCTGCCTTAAGAGTGGGGTGCCCACAGCTATGCACCTCTCTTTGACAAGCCCTGTTCTGGGATGAACCAACCCTTCCTTCCTGGGTGTGGGGAAGGAGCTACAGCAGCTGGGATGCCTGAACATTGTTCCAGAAGCCTCGTAGGCCACAGGCCACACCCTGCCACACAGACACCTGCGTCGGCCACAAGCCTCAGGGAGAAACTCACTTCTGTGACACTCTTGTCCTAAGGGTCAGAGTGACATTGCCAGAGACACCCTCATGTTGGCAGACTGCGGGTGATGAGGCCCGAGGCCAGGAGCAGGGCCGTGCCACCCTCTGCCCCTCCACAGTCTGCCACTGGGAATCAGCAGGGGCGCCTGGGCACGAACCTCTGGAGCACGTGGCACCAGCTGCAGTTGAAGGTCAGGTCCGAGGACGTGCAGGCGTCGCAGCTCCGATGCTGCAGGCAGGCTGCAAGAGAGAAGGCAGCGGCCACTCAGCACCAGGACCTCTGCACAAATGCTAAGGGGCGCCGCTCCTGAACAATGGGCGTTTATAGGACTATGGAGTCCCTGACTTAGCAGGGACCCTTGAGGTCATCAGTGCCACCCTCACTTGAGTCCAGCTCCTATTCCTAACTTCTCTCTTTTCTTTCTTAACTTCCCTCCCTCCCTTCCTCCCGTCATTAGGGGGCCAGGCCCTGAACTGGCGCTGGGGATTCGGCACTGAGACCTGGTCCCTGCCTTCTTGCAGCTTACAGTCACATGGGGACACAGACACCAAACAGATAATGAGACCAAAATAACTACAGAACTGTAACTGTCATGGGGTCTCTGCAGGAAAATCACAGGACGCTGTGAGTGTGTATAAAGGGATCTCACTTAGTTGGGGAAGTGATACGTCCAGATGTACGTCCCACAGTCACAAAGTCCAGAGGGATTTTTCAAAAATCAGATGACACAAAGCAGCAGATATGTAGGATGAACAAGTCTAGAGATCTAATGTTCAACATGAAGACTGTAGCTAATAAAGTTGTATTGTATTTGGGATTCATGCTCAATGAGCATTTTAGCTGCTCTTGCCACAAAAACAAAAGAAAATGGGTAACTGTGAGATGATGGATATGTCAATTAGCTTCATTTTGATAACCTTTTTGCTATGTATGTGTATTTCATAACATCATGCTTGTAACTGAAATATATACAATAAAATTTATTTTTTAAAAAGATGCTCTGAGGCAAAGTGTGGTGGCTCACATCTGTAATCTCAGCACTTTCGGAGGCTGAGGCAGGAGGATTGTTTGAGCTCAGGCATTCGAGACCAGCCTGTAGGCAAGATCAAGACCCCGTCTCTACAAAAATTAGAAAAATTAGCTGGGTGGCCTGTGCCTGTGATCCTAGCACTCTGGAAGGCCGAGGCAGGCGGATCGTTTGAGCTCAGGAGTTCGAGACCAGCCTGAGCAAGAGTAAGACCCTGTCTTTACTAAAAATAGAAAGACATTAATTGGCCAACTAAAAATATATAGAAAAAATTAGCTGGGCATGGTGGCGCATGCCTGTAGTCCCAGCTACTCGGGAGGCTGAGGCAGAAGGATCGCTTGAGCCCAGGAGTTTGAGGTTGCAGGGAGCTATAATCATAACACTCCACCCTAGCCCAGGTGACAGAGTGAGACCCTGTCTCTAGAAAAACAAAGCTCTGGTTGCCATCCATCCAGTGTTATCTGGGGGCCCTCACTGCCATCACAGTCCCACCCGGCCTCTCTCCAGCTCCCCCTGGCCTCCAACTAGGGCACCAAGCACTAAATCTATGAGGACAATCTGGCTCTGGCAGGTCCGTTCCTTTCTTCCGGCTCTCATCTCAGAGAGGGTGCAGGGAGTGTGCCGTTGTCCCTGCGCGTCCAGACAGCAGTCCTACTTTGGAAGCTACTTAGCCTCTTGGTGCCTCAGTTACCTCGTTTGTAAAGCAGGGAGCATGATGCCACCTGCCGGAGGACCTGCTGTGAGGATGAAATGAGGCGATACCTTTTCTCGGCGCCGCCCTGGGAGGAGCGCCCAGCAAAGGTTGCTTGTTCTCACGGCTGCCTTACTCGTTCCTTTCAATAAACCTGTGGGGTATTCATTCGCTTGCTTATTCATTTATTCAACACATGAATATTTCTTGAGTGTCCACCAGGGCCCAGGCATCGTCCCGAGTGCTGGAGACGCAGAGGTGAGCAGGAAAGGACAGAGGCGCTGGTGGCCAAACAGACACAGAAGTCACCGCTAGGGTTTCTGTGGCGAGCAGGCCCGAGAGAACAGTGGCCAGGACAGGGAGGCCAAGGAGAGTGGGCTGGGTTTTACTCAGGGAGGTTGAGGAAGGCCTCTTTGAGGAGAGAAACTGAAATGAGGCAGAGACTGAGCCCAGCAGCTGTCCCAGAGGAAGGGAAGTCTAGGCAGAAGGGTCCCCGTGTGGAGCTGGGAGGGGCGCAGCCCTGGCGTGGCCCCACAGCGGCCAGAACTGCTAATGGGCCGCACCAAGTGGAAAGGCTGCAAATGGAAGGAACAAGGAGGAAGTGACAGCGGAGGCCCGGCCTGGGCAGGACAGGGTCAGAGAGCACAGAAATCAGCGGGAGCAGCTTGCAGGAGGGGTGTGCACAGCTCTGGCACCCCCACGCAGAGGAGCAGTGACAGCAGGGGGAAGACGGGGGCTGCATTTTAGAGCTGTTGGCTTGCAAACTAGTGCTACTCACTTAAGTGAACCAGATGACCTCTCAGTGGCAAGTAGTTGTCACAAAGCCCGTGCATTTTATTGCAAAGAGACAAGCGCTCACCCAGAATAACTGTGCACCACTGAAGAACTCACCTTATAAGCAGCTCAACAGGACACCTTGACAGCAGATGACAACTAACCACAAAAAATGGCCACTCATTCAATAAAATTTTTTTTTTTTTTTGAGACAGAGTCTTACTCTGTCATCTGAGCTAGAGTGCCGTGGAGTCAGCCTAGCTCACAGCAACCTCAAACTGCTGGGCTCAAGTGATCCTCCTGTCTCAGCCTCCTGAGTAGCTGGGACTACAGGCATGCACCACCATGCCCGGCTAATTTTTTCTATATTTAGTAGAGATGGGGTCTCACTCTTGCTCAGGCTGGTCTCCAACTCCTGACTTCAAGCAATCCTCCTGCCTCAGCCTCCCAGGGTGCTAGGATTACAGGTGGGAGCCACCATGCTTTCATTCAATAAATATACACGCATCTCTCCATTAAGAGAGTTTCCATGCAACGTGCCACCATTAATTAGGGAGCCCATCTGCATTGTACGGAGTTCCAGCAAGATAGCAGCTGGGACCAGCCGTCAGAGAGTAGGAGAGAGGCTGTGTGGGCACAGTGTGCCACTTCAGTCACTCTAGGAGGCACTGGCAGTTGGTGGCATTGTGTCTCTTTGTCTGCCATGGTGTTGAAGGTCCTGGAAGGGTGATGGAAACCCACAGGCAGGAAATGAGCAGGCACCTCCCTGAGCGGGAGGAGGGGGTCTCTGGCTGTTTTATTCCTTGTGTGTCCAGAAGGTCTAGAACGGGGCCCGGCACATGGTATATTGAATTGATACATAGATGCTCTTGTTACCCCCATTTTACAGAGGAGGCAACTGAGGCTTGGAGAGAGTCATGGAGCTAAGAGTGGCAGGTCTGGGTTTGAGCCGAGGTCTGTCTGAGTCCAGGGCCCAAGCCCTTGGCCTTGAGGTCCCACTGTGGGTTCCCCCTGCCGCAGACCCAGCCTCACCCCAGGCCACCTTTTCATGGTTCTCTCCTAGAAGAGGGGCCAGGAGGGACCAGTAACCTGGAGATGTCCTCCTGGCCGGTGTGGTTAGGGAGAGCTGTCCTGGTTCTTTGGCTTATTCATGTCTTTTGGGAGAAGTGGGTGGAGATTCCCAGAATCACGCACCCTCCCATTTTCTCTCCTCCCGTGGCTGGCTGGAGGCACTGGGGGTGTGAGTTTTACTACGCTAATGAGGGAAAGGTTACCTATGGTCATAAGCTCCTAGCTTCTGTGCATGCTCCCGGTGGTCAGGAAAAGTCTGTAACCTCAAGTCCTTAATGTTGTGTTTTTTCCTCTGTGTTTATTGGTCCCTCGACCCTGGACCACATCTCCTATCGCCTGCCCTGCCACCTGCACACCCCGCATCCCTACCTAACACTCCCCACAGTAAGGGAGAGACCCGGATGCAGAGCACTTTCTCAGGACAGAGCTATCTGGCCAGCCAGAACTCAAACCACAGCCTTGACAGCCCTGCCCTGCACCGGCCGCAGTCACATGGGCACCGCATGGAGCCCTGCCTGGCCGTTTCTGGGTGACTCTGGAGGCCCCTTAAAAGGCTCCAGACAAACCGGCCACGGAAGAGCCCCAGGGAGACTTATGGGGGACTCGTAATACCTCTGACCTTTATTTCTCATCTGTGTTTCAGACGTCTTCAACACTATTAAATGCTCACAAAATTCACTGGAGGGTGGGAAGTGCCTTAAATGTACAGACAGCGTCCCAGAAATGCGTTCCCAGAACACTTCACTGCTTCCGCCTGAGCAGTTAGCCCTGCCCTTGGGTGTCCTTGCTCCCAGATGCAATTTTATCCTAGGACTTGGGGCTTGCTCTCACCAGCCCTTGAGGAAGTCCTGGGGCTCAGGCCTCCTCCCTGCCTCGATGGAGGGCGACTGTGTTGGGGGTAGGGCTGTGACCTGCAAAGTGTCCTGGCCACCGAGGCAGGAGCAGGCCCCGGCTTCACGGGGGGCTAGGAGGCCTCATGAGACGGGAAGGGGAATTAAACCCTACTAAAAAGACAAGGATGGAGAGGCTGTCCTCCTTCCCGCACTCTCCCTGGCTGTCCCCAGCAGATCCCAGAGAGACCCGACACCGACCCTGTGGGTCCACGGCAGCAGGTGGGGCCTCGGCCTGGCCTTGAACTCTAGGTGAGTGGGGTGCAGAGGGCCGGGGCCCCATGGATCCTGGAGGCTGCCCGATAAATCCCTTCATTGCCCTCTGCCTGTGGCCTGCAGCATGGTCACCTCCTCTAAGGAAAGGACAGTGACAAACCACGGACCCATGCAGTTCCTGGACTGCCCTTCCTGGGGCCTCAGTCCCAGTGTTCTCAGAGGCACGGCTTTCCCGGGTTTCAAGTATGCATGGATGGCAACAGATGTCCTATATTGAGCCCAGACCCCACCCCAGGCCTGGGATGTCCCAGTCAGAGTCAGAGCTGCCACTGATGTGCCCAACTCTACCTCAGTGGGTCTAACCCTTCCCACGGCTCTGAATGGGAGGTAGCACTAGGCCCAGGTCACACTCGGGACATGGAGGCCCAGGAAAGTTGGGTGGCCGTCCCCCACAGGGGTGGTGGGGGGCCTGGGACCTGAACTCTATTGAGGCTAAAGCTCTTCCCAGGACGGCGGAATGGGCCCCGTTGGTGGGAGCAGCCCCTACTCACTCGGCAACGGGGTGAACTCCACGGCCGACGTGCTGGCGACCTTGCTGGGGTCCAGCTCCACGCGGTGGTATTCGAAGATGGTCCTTCGCCGAGATTCTGAAACCGAGGCAGAGCCTGGCATCAGGAGCGTGTCCTGGCTGAGGACTCTGAGGCCTCCGCCTGGAGCCCGAAGGGGTTAGCAGTGTGCAGCAAACCCACCGAGTGGGTGGCGACGTCGAAGCGGCAGGGGCCGGCCTGCACGCGCGTGTGTAAACTGCGCCACGCGGAGGCCTGGCTGCGCCTGGGGTCAGGACACAGGGATCCTGAGCGTCCCCTCCTTGCCTCTGTGCCTTCGCAGCTGCTGTTCCCATGGCGCGCAATGTTCTTCCGCCCCTTCTCTCCTTGTCGAGCTCACCCTCCCGGCTCCAGCTCCAGGGCCACTTCCCCTGAGCAGCACGTCCCGACCGGCCTCCCCTCTGCCCCGCTCAGGCCAGGTGCCCTCCTCCCAGGCACTCGGCGCGCCGCGTGGACACGGGGGTCTGTTTGGAGGGTGGGGATGTTAGGCTGTGAGCATCCGGTGCTGGCCCTGACCCGCGGTGGGCGCTCTGCAAACGCCAGCAGGCCGACAGGCTGACCTCGGCACCTTGCTCACCGCATCCCTCCCTCCCCTCCTGTGGAGGCCCCAGCAACGCCCAGGACCTGCAGCCAGGCTTAAGTGCCACCTCTGTCCCTGCAGAAACCTCCTACAGGACCTCAGAGGCAGGAGACCCGGGTTCTGATTCTAGTCCTGCCCCTGACTTGCTGGACAGTCACAGGCGAGTCATCTGGGCCTCGATGTCTTGTCCACGAAGTGGAAAGACAGAAACGGCTGCCACAACACCCTTAGGCGAAGAAACTGAAATCGTACATGAAAAGGCTCTTCTTAAAATGGCAATGTGAGGTGCTCTGAGATCTCCCCTGTGCCACGGCGCCTACCTAGGAACCCCAACTCGGGCTGTCCTGAGGATTAAGGAAGACAACGTATGTGCATGAAGCGTGTGGACCCAGGAGCCACTTAAAGCACGCGAGCCCGTCTTTCCTCGCAGCCCCTGCTCCTTTTTTTGTTGTTTTTCTTGTGACTGAGACTCTTGGGCATTTTCAGCCTCTCCTAACCCCTCAGGCTCTGCCCTAACCCACGTTGAGCATGAGAAGAACGGATGGCACGTCTCTTTTCCCTCCCCTCTCCTGGCCCCGCCCCTGGGATGGCCTATTTCTTCTCAGACAATCTCCAGTGGGTCCCTCAGCTCCCTCCTGCTGGGGAGGACGCTGTGGGCAGAGTGGAGACCCCACAGAGGCAGCCCGACCGCGGGGCTGGCCATATGGACACACACCTTCATCCCCTAGCCTCAGTGCCACCCTCGCCCTCTGCTGGCCCTGGGCCCAGGCTGCCGGCTTTGCTTCCTGCGTGGCCCCCATCCCATCCTGGCTTCCCTGTGGCTTCCTGCTCCAGATGCTTTTTCTTGCTTTTGCCCCCACTAGAGAGGGAGGGAACAGGGGAACTGGGGGACATCAGTGCTCAGGTGGCCAATGGGCCTGGGGACACTGGGGGTTGGGGTGAATTCCATGCCCCCTCTGAGGGCTGCTCAGAGAGCATTTATCTTGGAATTCCCCGCACCCCCCCCCACTGGTTCTCATGGGGAGGGGCAATGGGAAGACTTTGGCCTTGGCCTTCCTCTCCTGCCAGGGAGGATGACCTCTCTAGCCCCGGGGCACCCTCTGTCCCTGACTCCTGAGTTGAGCTGGATGCTTTGCAGTGAGCTCTTGGCCTCCCCCTGCTCTTCCTCCCTTCCTTCCACCCCAGGCAGACCAGGGAACTTGCTGTTCCTCAGGAAAACAGCTGGAAGGAGCGGGTGGGGTGAGAGGGCCAGGTGCTCATGGTAGGTGCCCAGCAGGTGAGCGCGGCCCAGGTGTGGGCTTTATGAGCACCGAGATGGGCCCCAGCTTCGGAGACTCAGACCTATCAGGCTGAGAGCTGCAAGGGAGTTAAGAAGTCAAGCTGACCCGCTGTTCATTTCATGAGTGGGGAACTAAGGGTCACTTGGATTAGCTCAAACACTGATACAACTTTGTATATCACTTTACAATTTACCAAGCCTACCCGGAATCTTACATGGGAAATACCTATTTAAATGAGAAAACGCACACAAAAGCACAGCACCACGCCGTACCCTATTCATTGGCTCACTCAGCACATAGGTGCGGGCACCTGCTGTCTGGGGGCTGTGCTAGCTCCCAAGCACCCCATGACACGCAGGACAGACCTGGCCCCCTCCCCCACCGTGCAGCTCACATCATCAGAGGTGACCTGGATCTGAATCAACTCATTTGCCCTCACACCCTTCTCTTTTCTTTTCTTTTCTTCTTTTTAAGGAGATGGGACCTCGCTATCTTGTCCAGGCTGGAGTGCAGTCTCGATTCACAAGGTACCATCCTAGTACACTGCAGCCTTGAACTCCTGGCCTCAGGTGATCCTCCTGCCTCAGCCTCCTGAGTAGCTGAGACTACAAGGAGCCTAGAAGGTGGGGATTGGGAGGTGGGGGGAGAAGCCCCTTGACTTTAGCTTTCGCCAGTGTCTGTGGTATAAACACCCGCCATGCCTGATTTCCAGCTACATAGGGCTACTGAACATGGAGTTAGGAAGAGACGTTCAATCCTCTCTCGCCCACTGTGAGCTCTGGCACACCGCAGCTTGCGGTTTCCTGGTTTGTGTTTCTAAAAGAATCAAAGGGAAACATTTACATTTTTTTGTTTAAAAATAAATAATTAAGCCAATATCCAAAAGATCGAATAATTGCATGTTCATTATTCTCCTAAGCAACCCTGAGTCTGAGGGCAAAGGGGCCCAGGAGGCCTCACAAACATCGGGTTCTTAGAGGAGAGAACCTCCACGAAAAGCCCAGGGAACGAGGTGCACAGAGCCCTGTACAAGCATGTGCACAGCCCGGACACACACATGCACACACACGCACGCACACACACACACACACACACACACAGATTTGATACAAGAAAGACCTTTTGCCAAGCGGGAGGGTCTGACAGATTGGGAAAGGAAGGGCACCTTTTTGAAATTCATGTGCCCAGAGGGGGCACCAAGCCCACTTGCGATGCAGGCACCCCCTGTGTGACACCAGTGCTCTGAGAAGGTGGCCTGGGCTCCCAGTGAGCCTGGGGGCCTCGGAACATCTATGTAGCGGATGGAAAAGTTCTAGGCAGCCTTTCACAGCTCTACCCCATCCGCGACCCCAGGGGCCATCTCTCCTTCTAAAAAACTGCTCCTTTCAGCACCAAAATGTAATGGAATAAAAAATGAATCTGCAACTCCAGGTCTCCCACTCCCACCTTCCAAGGTACCTAAGGCCTCGGGGTCTAACGTCTAACGTTAGAGTCTAACGTCAACCTTTCTTCCCCCATCTGCCTCATCCTTCCGTGCTCAGCTGAAATGACATCTCCTCCTTGAAGACTTCCCCACCCTTGGGCAGAGTTAGCGGCCCCGCCTCTGAGCTCCACAACCCCCTGAGCGATGTCCAGTGTCACCTGTCACACTGCTTCATCAATATCTATTTTCCTGGCCACACTCAGATTGCGAGCTCCCCAAGGACAGAGTCCACGAGGTACTTGTCTCTGAACCCCAGCCCCTAGCAGCGGCCTTGCACTCAACAGGGCCTTAAGAAATAACTCTGAATGAATGCATGGGTTACAAAGAGTCACAAAAACCTCAGCAGCTCATTCTAACATCAGCCGCAGCCCAGAGGAAGCACGCCCTTCCTCCCAGCCCACCACAGATGACGGCCTTTCTCTGAAAAAGGCAGCCCCAAAGGGCCACGGAAAGCCAGCCACGCTCCTTCCCAAGTTAGAGCCCAGGGCGGGAGGAGAGCCGGCTGTCGCATTTCTCCACCCGCAAGGCAGAGCTGGCCCTTGGTCAGAAGGAAGGTGAAATGGGAGGGACAAAGGGACTCAGGGTGGGGCACGAGGAGACACGGACTTGTCAAGGAGCCGATTTCAAGGACAGAGACACAAGTGGCAGCCAGGAAGGCAAGCGGGTGCTCCTAGACACCTCACACCAGGGTCGGAGATGGGCTCCCCACCATCCAGGCCGGGGAGCAGAGCTGGGGACCTGCCCAAGCGTGAGTGCAGCCAGGGACGGTCCGGTGTCCTCCGGAAACAAACGGGGCAGGGAGACCGAGAGGCGGTGGGAAGGCGGTGAAGGTGGGTGTGTGGGCACGTATCTCTAATGGAAAACACTCGCTCACTTCAACTGCCATCTTGCACTTGTTTGCGTGTATGGCTTTGGTAAGTTCTAATTGTTTTATAATATCCCCACCTGCATCATTGGCTTTTGGATTATTTTGCCAACATCTGCGCCTCACCCAAGGACAGTGACGTCCATTTGTACGTCATTTTGGGTGCCCCAAAGCCACATGTCTGGCAGTTTGAGATGTTCTGTTTTATCTCTGCTTCCAGTCATCAAAGATTCGGAAATGCTAAGGTCCAGACACAACAAACCCTGCCACCCCAATAAGAAACATTAATGGTTCAAAAGAGAGGTTTGCATAACCAGATTTACTTTCTTTTCTTTTCTTTTCTTTTCTTTTCTTTTCTTTTCTTGTCTTTTCTCTCTCTCTCTCTCTCTCTCTCTCTCTTTCTTTCTTTCTTTCTTTCTTTCTTTCTTTCTTTCTTTCTTTCTTTCTTTCTTCTTTTTTAAAAATAATTACAAGAATGCCTTTTCTGGATACATGTCTAGTTTTGTTTTGGAGAATGTTAGCTTGATCAGAAGTCAGGAGACCAAAAAGTCCAGCCACAAAGTTCCTTCCAGCATGGGTGGTTATGGTATAAAAAATGTAAGATAGTGGGTTGTGGGGGGAAGTCTTCATTCATTCATTTGCACATTTGATTATTCATTCAACACTCCGGAATGAGCCCCAGCAGGGGACCCTAGGCAAGGAGCTTTCCGCCTAGGAGCCGGGAGGCAGGACATTCCTTCTCAGCACTGAGGCAAAGTGGGAAAACAGGGCAGAGAAAGAAGAGGCAAGAAAGAAACAACAAGACTCAGGGAACAGAGCAGAGGGAAAAACAAAAGAGAAAAGGGAAAAGAGAGGAGGAGGGGCCCAGGATGGATCAGAAACTTCTAAGGACTAGTACTTTACAGGCTCTGTCAGCAGGAGAGGCGAGAAGGTGAAACTGGCCGATCTGGAGGCCACATCCACTTCTGCTCCCCACGTCCCCGCGTGGCTGGTCTGGGACCCCCGCCTCCCCCACCCGCAGCCTGGCCATTATCTGGACGCAGGCCTGCCTCCGAAAGGACAGGAAAGTTCCGGTAAAGGAGGAGGACCAGAGCCTTAGGGGCGTCTGAGGCCATTCTGGGGCCAGCCAAGGGGCAGGCTACAATTTTGTAATAAACCCTTTGTAATGAAATCCTCATTAACCAATTTCACTAACTCAGGATCTCTGTCAGTTGTGATGTTGGCAACTCGAGAGTTGCTTTTATACTGTCCACGAAATAAGCGAATGGATAGAGGAGCTTGTATGGGCTCTGGCAGCCTCTCCGGCTAACTAGGCATAAGCCACCCTGTACCTCTGGAGTGCAGACAGATGCTGCTGATGGCATGTGACTTTTCTTTTCATCAAAGATGCTCGTCAGACTCTGCTCCAAAGCCCGTGTAACGGTTTGTGCGAGCCAGTAATGGCAAGAAAAACTCTGGCTGTGTTCACAGCTCCTTCCCTCAACCCAGCAGGCACCCCACCACACCCCTACCCTCGCCCAGCAGGGTGGGGAGGAAAGCGTTTGGAGCCTGGGGGAGGGAGAAGAGAGTCCCCCAGACAGGGCTCAGTGGCTGGGGGATTCTTGAGTAGTGGGGGACCAGCCTCCACTCCCCACAGTGCCCCAAGCAGGGAGGAGCCAAGCCTGCGGTCAAGGACGGTGACACCACCCAGTGGCAGTGAACAACCAACCAGGTGGGCCTGGATAATGGCAATATCTATGGTGGCCGTAGGGACTGCCGACCACAGGGCTCTTCCTGAAATTCTGTTTCATTTAAGCCACGGTTATTTGGAGTTTACTGTTATTTGCAGCTCAGCCTAATCCAAATTCCCTACTTGCTAGGATGAATTGATCAGACCCAGAGGAATCTGACCTCCTGGCCGCATAAAAGCCATCACTCTCCAAAGCAGAGATTGTGGCCCATTTTAAACCCCAGTGACAGCCGTGGATACTGTCCCAGAAAAATGCCTACATGTGAAAATGCTACACTCGGTCTCAACACTTCACCTACAATTCCAGGAGTTCCCAGCCCCCGAGGGTCCATGCTTGGCCCGCCCAGCTAGAAACCACTTGATAGCGGCTGGGAGCTTGACGGGAAGGGTCAGGGGAGGCAGGTGCCAGAGCAGCGCCTCCCCCTGGAGGTTCTGTTGCAAAAAAATGGTCCCTCTGCTGTAACCAACAAGAGTCAGACCTCACTGCGCCTCCCTCCCTCCCCCAGTTCCCACTCGACTCTCTGCCACCCGTGCTCCCCGGCCAGCGCCACCCCCCGCCGGCGTGGAGTCCATCTGGGCCAAGTCCCACTTAGTCTGGGCCTCTGCAGGATCCCTGGGGACTCACCTGGCACGTCCGGGGACGGGTTGAGAATCATGAAGGCGTCTGACAGGCCTGCTTTGACAGGGTGCTGGGAGGAGCTGATCTCCAGGACGGACATAGGGACCTGCAGTGGGGAGAAGACTGTTGGAAGCCACGTCCCCTCTGAGCTCCAGACCGGTCCGCCTGCACGGCGTCACCTCTTGGAGGATTCAAAGACATCTCAAACCCAGTGGGTCCTCATCCCAATTCCAGGCTTCCCTGCACCACCTCCTAGCACATGTTCTTCTCTTCCCACCCCAGTGACTTCTTTCATTTCTTCCCTTCCCCATCGAATGCATCTCCAAAGCCTGTTAATTAACCTGCTAAGTGGCTCTCAAAGCTGGCCAGCTCTTTCCATCTCCCCCTTCCCAAGCTGTCATCACTTGTCTCCTAAGTCATCTCCCAGCATTCCCTTTGAGCCCCCAACGATCTGTCCCCCCCTCTGAAGCCAGAATGGCCTTTCTCAAAGCCAAATCTGTTATTCCCCTGTCCTGTCCTGCCCCTCACTCTCTCCCTCCAGCCACGCTGCTTCTTTCAGTGCTTTGCACCAGCCATGCTCTGTGCTACCACAGGACCTTTGCATGTGCTGTTCTCGCCCCCAGAACACACTTTACTCTCCTGTTTGCTTCCTTAACTCCTATTCATCCTGCAGATTTCAACTCCTTTCCCCAGGGAAGCCTTCCCTGGCTTCCACCAAGGTGAGGAACCCTGTGCATGGCTCTGTTAACACCACTCACTTCTACTTAAGAGCACTTGTCACAGTGGCAATTCTACATTTATCTGTGTAATTATTGTCTATTTTCTCAACCAGACTTACAGCTCCACAAGGGAAGGGCCCACAATCATCTTAGTAACTGCCGTATCCTCAGCGCCCAGTCCTGTGCCTGGCACAGTGCAAGTTCTCTGCAAGTATCTGTTGAATGAAAGAAGGGCTCCAAGACCCCGCTGTCTCTGCGGCTGGGCCCACTCACCTCCTTGTAGCCGAACACAATGCGGCCATCACGGTGCAGAGCTGCCTGGAAGGTGAAGCTGCCTCTGTCCTCCCGGCCTTGGAGGTAGACATGGTCCCACTGAACAACAAAGACTGTCCCTGGGGAGAAGAGTAGAGGCCCGGCTGGATGAGGAGGCAGTGCAAAGAGCAGGGCCCTGCAGAAATGGCTTGGGCACAGGTGGGGTCGCTTTGCGATGACGGGGGCGGTTTGCAGATTCAAGGCGTCAGGAGCTGGGCAGCCCACAAACACCAGCCTGGCTTCCGCGCTGGACGGGAGCCGGGAGGTCCTGCTTCAGCCCCCGGACACCGTACTCGATCACCTCTTACCCCTCGCACACCCTTCCTTCCTGCCCATCCCGACCCCTTGAGATAAAAAGGAGGAGAAACTGGAGTGACGCCTGTTCTCCTGGGGCGGTGCTCACAGGGCAACCTGGTAAGGATGAGAAATAATAAACGTCCCAACATTTATTTTACCTCTACTAAGAGCCAGGCACTTTTCATCTTGTGACCTCGTTGGATCCTGGGGGTGGTGGGCACTCTGTCCCCATCTTACAGCTGAGGAACTGAGCACACACAGGTGTGGCTGCCTGGCTCTGGGGCTGCGGGACACTTGCCCTCTCTGGGCCTCGGGCTCCTCTAAAGGGGCTGGACCAAGGCATCCCTGGAGCCAGGTGACCTAAATCCTGAGGTCTGGTCTCACCGTTGTCAAAGTAAGCGACCGTGGAATTGTCAGAGTAGCCAGGGTTGAAGTTGGCCATGAGGGGGGCCACGTACTGCGTGGCCGTGAGCATCCGATGGATCACGTCGCCCATGAAGATGAAGCCTACGGTGGGGAGAGGCGCAGAGGAGTCACCAGAGATGGCCCAGAGGGGCTGCTTCTGGGGGCCTTTCCCCGAGGGCAGTAAGGGGCAGTGCGGATGGAGCTGGAAGTGACGGGGGACCTCTGTCCTCTGTCCCTGCCTGGTGGGCTCTGGGTCTGGTGTGTACGGAGCCAAAGGGCCCCAAACCAGAAAAGCTTCCCCCTATCCCTCCAGGTGGGCACAAACTGTAGCGTGAAGGAACAGGAAGAGGAAGTGACACTCAGCTTTCCCCGTCACCGGGGAAGTGGGACATAGAACTAAAGTGCACAGGCATTAAAGATGGGCTCCTCCTGTCAACACAGACCTGGTCCCAAGAGCCCAGGCTCTCACTGGCATCTCCCTCTCCCGCTCTCGCTCATGGACTCAGAAAGGGACACGGGGCTGTCCACCCGGACTCACGCTGGCCCAGAGGGACACACACATGAGCAGGTGAGCTGATGCAAGGGGGGTGGTCTGACAGTCGCTGACCTCCCTTCTGAGAACCAGGTTCCCAAGAGAGGCGAACTCAGGTCCCCCAGTCCATCTGTACAACCCTGTCCGACAAGCCTCCCCAGGGAGGCCCCTTGAGTTCGGCTGAGATCTCAACCCCCCGCCCCCCAGGACCCACTGACAAGGCCTTACCTCCAGTTGCTATGGTGATCTGCCGCAGTGGATGCCCGTAGAAAGGGAAATCGAAGGACAAGACCACTCTCTGCAGAGGATGGGAGCGAGTCAGCATGGGCTGAGCTGCAGGCCGGGGGCTGGGCACCCACCCTGCCCCGTGCTTGTCTGCACCGAGTGGAGACAGCGTGTCCAGGCAGGCCTCCGGGACCACAAGTGGCCACTCCTACTCTGGCTGAGCCCCACAGGAACCCTGGAAGGCACCTCCCAGATCACAGAGCTCAGGCCACAGCCATGCCCACTGACCTCGGCCTCCTAGCCCAGGGGACACACTGCGGGGACCTGGGCACTCACCGAAGCCTGCCGGTGGGTGTTGGAGAGTATTCTGTGGACCTTCACTTGGCTCCGGTTGGCCTTGGCCACGTCCACCCACAGTTCCTGGCTGCGAGGTTCGCTGGGGCCATATACACGGGACACATAGTAGCTGTGGTTGTCCTCCTGCCGGCACCCAAGACAAAGCCCACAGGGGACATGAGTAGTCAGGCGTGCCAGAAGCCACTCTCTGCCCTGCCCCGCTCAGACAAGAAGTCACTGTCCTCCCTGGGTGCTGGACCTGTGGCCCAGAGACAAGTTTAGGCTTGGGAGTCCCTGGGCTCCCCTTGGCCCCAGACAGCTCACCACCTGGCCCCTAGCCATTCCCAGCAGGTCCGGCCCAGCCAAATCCACACCTGCTGTGTCCTTGCTCAGTCCAGCCACGTCCAGACAAGCCAGGAGGCTCATCCTACAGCCCCCGAGTCCCTTCAGAGCACGACCAAGGCTGAGCTCGGTTTGGGGCACGAGGGAGGAATAGATAAGACAGCCCCGGACAGAGCCCCTGTCTTCAGAGCTCCCAGACCAAGGGGGAGACAGAGTCCCTGTCCTTGGGAAGTACCCAGTTTAAGGGAAAAGGATAAACTGGATCTTAAAAGGCACCAGTCTAAAGGAGGAGGCTGATCCTTGATCTTGGGGATTTGCTGGTCTGATGGAGGAGGCTGGACTTACGTGAGCAAAATATGTGGACACACACCTTCAAGCAAAGATGCTACGAGCCCAGACTGCGGTCACCAGAGGGTTGAGAAAGGGGAGAGAAAGAGCAAAGTTTCCTTCGATGCATGGTTTTCAACCTCTGCTGTGTGCCCAATGGGAATAAAATAGAGAACAAGCCAGAACACTGTGGCTAGGGGTTCATTCTGCAAAACCTCTCTTGCAGAGGAGCATTTGGGGCCAAGATTTAAAGGAGCCGAGGGACTGGTTGGCAGAAAGGCTGGAAGAGCCAGGAATGGGAGACGTCGGAGCATTTCCTGGAATCCACCCAAAAGCACCCGCCGCAGGAGGACAGGAGGCTGGTGGGCAGGTTCCCTTGGCAGCCACCACCGCAGAGTTGGGGCTGCTGACCCATGAGGAGCCCTGGGCGCCGTGGGTCACTAATCAGGCTGCCCAGCAGCGGTGGCTGCAGACACAGCAGAACAAATGATGTTCTCCGTGCCAAGCTGCCCAGCCAGCCCTTGCCCTGGGCCCAGCGTGAGCAGCCACGAGGGTTCCTGCACTCCTCACTCTGCTCTTCCAACAGGGACACGCCCTGGGAACCTGGGTCCGGGCAGACGGTGGGAAGATGAGCGGAGAAGCGTGGTAGTGGCGGGTGTTCCCACTGCCACCATCTCCAAACTGCCCGTGCCTCCAGCTGTCCTCGGCATGGCAATCACACCAACCTACAACGCTTGTGAGGCCGCATCACCCGCTCACACGCTTTCTGGGCTCCCTCGAGACACTGCCCTTGAGACAAGGGCCGTCGGAAGCCAGCAGAAGCTAGGCGGAGGCCAGGAAGGGTTCTTTCCGGGGGCCTTCAGAGGAGTGTGGCCCTGCTGACACGCTGATTTCTGCCTTCTAGCCTCCAGAACGGTGAGAGAACGTGTATCTGTTGTTTTAAGGCCCCCCCCCCAGTTGTAGTAATTTGTTATGGCAGCCCTAGGAAATTAACACACACGCCCACGGGTGTGTGTTGCTGTGGCTCAGCTGGGACAACCTGCAGGTGTTTTCCCTTCTCCACATCACTCCCTTCCATTAGAACATTCTGTGGCTCCCAGATGCTCTTAGAACAAAGGCCACACCCCTTACCACAACCTACAAGGCCCTACGTGGTAGACTGTGGGCACTGCCCACCCAATATCCATTCCCTTGCAAGCAGCAATGTGGGCATCTAAAAACAACTTCATTCTCTGGATGTCTTAAGGGTTGCCACATAACACAGGCTGATTCATGAGATTAGCTGAGAGTCCTAGAGTCCCTCTTATCTTTGCCCTTCTCCTTCTTCCTGCCTGGAATGCTGACATGATGGCTGGAGCTCCAACAGCCATCTTGTGAATATAAGGACAACAGCCACACGCTGAGGATGGTGGAGTGGAGAACTGGATGGAGCCTCAGCCCCGATGACGTTGCTGGAGGCATGCACCTTAAATCCCCAGGTTCAGCTCTTTGCTAAACACACACAAATCCTTGACAAATGCACGGTGGTGTGGCCCCATCCAGCACTTCCTCCTCTCCCCCTGCTCTCCATGCACCAGTCCTGCTGGGCTTCTCTCAGTTCTGGAAATCACCAGCCACTTGTCTCCCTCAGGGCCTTGGACTTGCCTCTTGTGACTCAAAACCTCTCCCCCCACCCTGTTCAGAAGCCGACTCTTCCTCGTCCACCAGGCCTCAGAGCCAGGGCCGCTTCCCCAGGAGCGCCTCCCGTGCCGCACGGTCTCATCGCACCCACGCTTCACTCCCCTAACGTTTTGCACTGGGACGATGCGCTTGGCTTTTATGCTTGTCATCTGCACGACTGCCTTTCCTGTAAGCCCGTAAGGTCCCCAAGGGCAAGGTCGCCTTCACCTGTAGTGTAAGCACCGGGTATGTATTCAGTTGGAGGATTTGTTGAACAAATCCTTTGCAAAAGCCTGCACTCATGCTTTGCCCGTTTCCTTGGTGCCACCACCCATTCTGGTGACCAGGATAGCATCGCCCCAGCAAACAAAGCAGGACAGCAGTGGAGGGTAAACAGTGCTCTTGGGTACATCTGGGAGTCAACTGAATCCAGGTCCCGCCCAGGACCCAGAGCTGGCCGGTGTCTAAGGCGTGCTCTGAGGCTTGGAGAAAGGTCTTGTTTCAGTCAGCCTGCTTCCCGCAAGAGCTGTCCCCAAGCCTCCAAGTGTCGGAAACGAAGGCCTAGGACTTTGATTACCCTGGGATGGTGAAGCCAGCAGCTGTATCTACTCAGAGCCCTGGTGGAAGGAGGCCACATGATGACGGGTAAGGCCACACTGCCGCTTGGGGGCAGGGGTGGCTTGAAGCAGGTCACTGCAGGGGAGTGACTGGGAGAGTGGGAGGGGGAGAAGGGAAGCTGGCATTCACAGAGCCGTGACGGCAGTGTGCTGGGCGTTCCATATTTATCACTGCATGGCAACGCTCGGAGGAGAGTACTAATATCAGTCCTGTCTTCTTTTCTTTCTTGCTTTTGAGACAAGGTCTCGCTCCGTCACCTGGGCTGGAGTGCAGCAGCGTGATCATAGCTCACTGCAACCTCAAAGTCACAGGCTCCATCAATCTTCCTGCCTCAGCCTCCTGAATAGCTAAGATTACAGGAACAGGACACCACCCCCAGCCAATTTTTAAATTTTTTGTAGAGACAGAGTCTCACTATTGCCCAGGCTGGTCTCAAGAGAACTCCTGGCCTCAGCCTCCCAAAGTGCTAGGATTACACACGTGAGCCACCGCGCCCATCAGTCTCATTTTCTAAGTGAGGCCCCGGATCACATAGCTATCTGAAACCAGGTCAGTCCCACTCACAGACAGTGACCTTTCACCAACAGCAAGAGAAGGAGGGCACACATCTCCCCAGCCACTGAATGAACGAACCTACCCCAGGTGGACTGAGCCATGTGCCACCTCTGAACTGACACCCCTGGCCAGGACAGCACCAGATGCTAAACAGCTTCGACCTAAACCAAACATGGGCTGGGGCATCAGGTTACCATGGAGCCCCAAATCCCACTCCTATTGCACAAGGCCGGGAGGTCAGTTATATGTTGGAAAGTCAACCACGGTGTCCCCTCACCCTCTGAACCCTGCCAGTGAACCAGCACTCTCAAAAAACAAGAACCAGGCTGGCCCGAGTGCAGTGGTGTTTATGACTAATTGATCACAACCAGTTACAGATTCCTTTGTTCCTTCCCCACTCCCACTGCTTCACTAGACTAGCCTTAAAAAACCAGAAACAAAAACAAAAACCAAGAAACATGCCTTTTGCTTTCTGGAAGCAAAGCTGAGTAAGGACTTGGCTGTCTGCCCAGTGTCTTCCAATCTGTCCGCATGCCCAGGGAAGCATCATGGTTCTGCCCGGTCAGGCCTTGAGGAATGAACAAGAGCCTCCAACTAGGGTAGGGGCCTCCTGGCCTGTATCCTTTGTCCCCATCCAGGTCTTTATGAACCAGAGCTTATCCAACCAAGTTCCTCGGAGCTGAACACCAGTGATGCCATTAAACCTGTGCCTTCGCACCCAGCGCTTTCTGGAACCAGTCCTCTTCGCCTAGAATTTCTGATGCTCCTGGAACATCACCATTGCATGGAGCCCTGATAATTTAAACTGCAGGTGTGGCATCATACTTTAAATGATGTCCTAGTACCAGACATGTTTTGGGATGCCCAGCACCCCCACAGACCCGGCTGAGCGACCACACCCGCCACATTCTCCCACGTGACCCTGGGCTTCCCCAGCCAGATGGATTGCACATTGGTGGTCACATGATTCAAAAGCAGCCCATCTATCGGAAGCCTACGACCTACGGCTTGTGCAGCCTGAGCCAATCAGATCCCTCTCCAGGAAGCGTGAAATTGGGAAACTGAGAAGCTGGTGGCAGGAGAGCTGAGTCGAAAGGTCGCAGAGGCTCAGGGGCGGAAACCATCGCCATCTGGAGCTGTCTGCAGAAGACACCGGTCCACAGAGAGGAGAAGGAACACCTCATACGCATCTGGCTTCAATAAATACATGACAAACTAACAAAAAGGAGACAAGAGCTGAGGGGGCGCCTGGAGAGACAGAGAGCGCAGCCCTGGCCCCCAACAGCTTTCCGGTTTCCCTGAGGTCTGGCTCTATGTCCCTCTGTGTCCGGCCTTCGAGTTCCATGACAGTTCTCCGCACCCCCGTTATGACCGTCCTTCGTGAGACAGCTCAAATGGCTCCTCGAACCAAAAGAACATGAAATAAAACAGTCTTGCTTATGGGGTGATCAGAGGAAGAACTTCCAGGGAGAGCCAGGCAGTCCTTCATCAGTACAAGCAGCAAGAATCTGAATGGAGAGAGAGAAGTGAGAAACCAAATTTCTGGGAGAACTGTTCCCTGGCAACACACTGGCCACTGTGAATTTTCCTCTACAAAGTCGATCACTGCTGGCCTTTTGACTGGCCACTGAGGAAAAGCATCC